TAAATATATGTCGAAAATGTTCCATATTCCATTTCTTTCCAGAGTATATTTCATCATGTGTTGATCGTGCCGAAGACAATTGAATATGGCATACATGGTACCAGTCTGCCTGAAACCACTCGTCCACAGCTAGCGGAGCAATTAAAGGAGCAGACTCCATTCTGCTCAAAGCGCGCAAGGGTAGATTAGAAGCAGCGGTGCTGACTCACTGACACTAGAGCCCAAAGCAGCAGTGAACGAAAGAATGAAACTGGCCCTGCGCTTTGCATTGAACAATCATTGGATGGAATTGAAATCCAACCATTGGCCAACTATTGGAACCAGAATACGTTGCCACTTTAGAGTGCAAGAGATGGTCCACCATTGCTACAAGAAGCTGAAACACACGCCATTCTGGCCGATTGTATGTTTTCGTTGGCCTTATCGCTCTGCAGGTGCTATCCCGAGAAACAATTATGTAGTGTAACGCTGTCAAGGTGCACAATCAGGGGATAGTAGACTGCAGCAATGGAATCCAAGGTAACAAACCTTGCCAATGAAGGGTGGCACCAACAGAAATCATGCAACTCAAAAAATGTATGTATATAGAGAGATATATATATATATATTCAAATATGTATATATATATATATACATATATTCAAATATATATATATATACATATGCCACCGTTGTTTTCTCTCCAGTGCCAGCAGTTTACACGAACGTCTCTAGATGTTCACCATCAACCCAAGGGACGGCAAGGCCTTCAGCCAGCCCGTCTCACCAAAAGGTCCCCTCCCACCGATCATGGTGGAGGGGGGGACGGGTGACTTGCGCGGAAATGTTGGACGGCGACCTTGTGATCAAACCACTCTACCGAAAACGTTCTCAAACTATCATGCCACCATTGTTTTCTCTCCAGTGCCAGCAGTTTACACGAACGTCTCTAGATGTTCACCATCAACTCAAGGGACGGCAAGGCCTTCAGCCAGCCCGTCTCACCAAAAGGTCGCAAGCTTGCCCGACGTAGCAACGTAGGTGCCTTCTGGTTTACCGCTTGGGTCATTGCAGGTGCCGAGAATAATTTTCTGCGATAGCCGCCAAGTCAGTCTTGTGAAAGCCAAGTGCCAGTTTTTTGCACAACTTGAAAGGATATGGTTCAGCAATCTTGGAATACCAGGCACCGGAAGGACGGAGACCAGACAAAGGAATGTGAGGCTCGCCATTGGCCACTGTACTCACAAATGCCACGTTTGGAACACTTGCAAAAAAATCCGGCTAAGATACTCAGGTCAAGATGTACTGAAACAATTCATGTTGGTTTCTTCCAAGCCATGCCAAAAGCACAAAAAGTGACATCAACGAATTGAACTGCTCTTCCTCGAAATATGTTCACAACCAAAGGCGACTACGCTGAGGGTTTTCCAAGGTCCATGGGATATGATAAACCAAAGCCAGGAGTAAAACAGCACATGAAAAACGCATCAAACAGTTACCCTGTCGTACTTCGCGCTCATATCTGCAGGCCGAAGGTTTTCCAGTACAAGTGGCTCTTTGTCGCTGCGAAGGCGAGGTGGCCCACCCGGCCGATCCCTTGCTCGGGAAAAACTGTGGCAAGGTGTCCCTAAATGCCCCCCTTTGACATAACCACTTGAGGTCCGGTGCTTAATGAGCTGTTGGTTGGATCGTGTGAGCAAATCATAATTCTCTCCGAATTCAATATCCCAGAGTAAAACAGGCCAATGGATGTGTTGGGCAATTGTTTTGCCCAACCGACCACTTCCAGAAAAAATCTCCAAGAAAAAAGGAAAAACCATGCATCTCTGTGGGCTCAGGGCCTTTCTGACGAGAGCTTTTGAACGTCTTTTTTGGCTTGTATGCATTGCTTTTGTGTTTGAACGTCCAGACTGCCGAAGAGCTGGGCTAGCCTGGACCCCTTCTCGTAATTCCGAACACTCTTCAGTGATTGCCATCGCCCTCTGCTTTGGATGCCCACGAGGCTTCGAAGACGACTTGCGGCCTCATGGGATGCCCCGCCATGACGGAGGCGATATAGGTGGAATTTGCCCAGGGGGGCGAGTCCTAGGCTGCTCCAGTGATCGTGACAAAAGTCGGTCACATCTTGCAGGCTCACACTGAACGCAGGCTCGCTCTTGGGCCGGGACCTGATGTTCAGCCAGGAAATAAGGAGAGGTCCCAAAAACTTGAAGCGCTTCAAATCCAGACTTAGCATCTCGTCCCACTGCTGAGGTCTTTGACGGAATCCCCTCTTCGGTAGGATGTAATAGGATTGCATAGTGTTGATAGGCCCTTCCCGCCCGCTTGACCGGACTGACGATGTCTTGCACCCGGATCTTCAGAGCTTCTCCAGGTCGTAGGTAAAGCAGGAAACTGAGCAAAAGAAACAGACATATCTGGGCATTGCCCGTGTTGAAAGCCTTCATTGCCAGCAAGCACACAGTCTCGTAGGGTACAGGCATGCGTGCCCGAGGTGGGCACAATCTTCGCCACCCCTTCATGGATTGCTGTGCCAGAGGTAAGTTCCCCGACCCCTTGGTGCCAGGAATCATGTAAACCGTGGCTGCCACTGTATAGCTTGCAAAACTCAGATCCTCGCCCTCCAAATAGAGATGCTCCAAATATAGGGGCATGTCTACCCGCACTCTGCCCCCCAACTAGTCCTTATTGCTGTCTATTTCCTAGTCAGGCACTTCCTTTAAGTCAGCCCCCCGCTCCCACATACCCCCACCCTCCACTATATTCACCCCAACTCTACTTCCTTTCAAAATACATGAACTAAAACCCGCACTCTGCCTCGTGACCATGCCACCAAGAGACCCCAGTGCTTCTTGTACTTCTTCTGTGTCACTTGACCCGCTGAGTTGCTGCGCAGTGTCTGCTGCTGATCCTTGGCTGCCTTTGCCTTTCTCAAGGTGGACCGCTTGCTCTTCTTCTTTTGGCTCCCATGCCCTTCTAACTCTATCTCCCAGGTGAGAGGTGCCTGTGATCGCAACATGTGAACCAACCCTTGCTGTGGCTGAGCCGGCTCTGGCTGCTTTCTCTTCTTCGGTTCTCTGTCCCAGCGCACCGGCACATTCAGGCTTCTCTGAATCATCCCCAAAGCGCCGAGTGGCTCACATTGTCCGCCGGGTTCCACTCACTGGGCACCAACCTACACCTAAGGCCTGAGCCTCTAACCAACGTATATGCTGCTACCTGCTGTACCACCCGTCGGAGTTTATGTCCACTTGCTCGACCCTTATCAAACGCAACGGCTGCTGTCATGCTATCAGTAAGGACATTGAAACGATGGCCAAAATTGGTTACTTTCCTGAAGTAATGCCTCACTGCATGTAATGTACTTCTAGCCTCATAAGCTGGCATGGTGTCTTCTCGAAACCATTTGTGTCTGCCGACCACATGCCACTCCCTGTCCACCAAATAAAAACAAGCCGTTTCGTAAGAAACATGGTTGATATCGTGTTGTATGCTATCTCCAACCAATAATTTGTCATCTTCCATAAGTGCAAACATTCGGGGTTCTCAAGCTTCTTCATCCTGAAACCGCCACCTCTTTGTGGAAACCATGGCCTGACACACACACACACACCAAGACCCCATTCTGAAGCATCAACAGCATAGATATTGTTTGACCAAGGTATGGTTAAATCTTGAAAGGCCAGAGGACATAAACCATCCCAAATCATCAATTCTCGCCGCACACTTTTCCAAAGGGGGACCACTGAAGTGTAATGTCTTTTGATGAAGGTATATACCTCACCATGGGGGGGCAAAGCTGCTCGCCTGCAAAGTGACACAAAAGTAAGGTGGCCGATCAATCTATCGACCTGCTGTCCACTCGCCCGTCCTCTCCTCAACAGCTCCCTGATGGCCAGTCTGATACGAAGGGAAAATTTCTGTCCAACCGAAGCATCGTGCGGGGAAAAAAAACACGGTCAGTGTTAGCACAAACCCCAATCGCTTTTGCGGTACCTATGGATGCTCGAACCTGTCACTTTCATCGCACCGTTGGGTACGTGGCAAATGGATGTCGAAAAATCCGAATTGCAAGTCGAATGATGATGATGATGATGATGAGGAGGAGGATGATGAGGATGATGATGAGGAGGAGGATGCTGATGATGAGACACTGCGAAGGGGCTGCTGCGTGAAGAGACGCACAAGGCATGTGACGAGAGTTCACTTGGGGGGGGGGGCATGGAACTGGACATTCAGAGCAGGGCGGAGATATCTGGATCCGAAAAGAGAGCACCCCACGATGTCCATGGTTGCTCATCACTTAGTCCATTTAAATAGCCATTTGGAGGTATACATTGTCAGACACACGCATCGTGCGGGGAAAAAAAAACACGATCAGTGTTATAGCACAAACTCCAATGTCTCTTTTTGCTGTACCTATGGATGCTCGAACCTGTCACTTTCATCGCACCGTTGGGTACTTGGAAAATGGATGTCGAAAAATCCGAATTTCAAGTCGAATGATGATGGTGATGATGAGGAGGAGGATGATGATGATGATGTTGATGATGATGGTGATGATGACGAGACACTGCGAAGGGGCTGCTGCGTGAAGAGACTCACCAGGCATATGGCGAGAGTTCCCTTTGAGGGGGGGGAGGGGGGGGGTCCCTTTCTCCTGGTCGTTCAAGGATAAGGGGTCCAGCCCGCCCCTTTGCTTCGCAAAGTAAAATACTCAAGGTAGCCCGCTAGGAGGCTACCTTGCATGATTTAAAATCATAATTCAAAATCAACTATATTATATATATATTATATAATAATATTTTCAGTTATTTTTAGTTAATATATATTATAATTCAAGAAACATAATATAAAATATAATTTAACACAAATAAACCAATCGAATTAAAATTTCATTATATATTATATTAATATAAAAATAACAAAAAATAAAAACGATATTTCGCCTTTATTTATATATAAAATTATTCTCACATCTGTAGCCTTGTAACTACAAGACTAAACCTACCTCCGAACAAATATATTACTATATAATATTATAAAGAGATAAAAATAAGCATCATATATCAATAAATTTCTATATATATATATATACCTAGTGATTTTTCTAAATTTGCACTGCGCCAAGTCCGAACTCAGCGGTATATATATATATATTGTTTAAATTAGGCTTCCGTTTTCTAGTATAATTTCGTATGCAAATTCGCGGAGCGTATTTAAGCCCGATAAGAAGGAATACAGAAACACTTGCACATACAGAGAACTGGTTAGGAGCACCAATTAGATTTTATTACGGGGCTTCTCTGCCAAACACGGTCCTCCTCTATCAATATTCTTTTAGGCAACCAGAACAAACAGGGAGGGCCTAAGGAAGAAATAAATCCATTCAAAACTTAGACGATGCATGAAAAACTCAGATTATCCTGGCAAGAACCGCAGCCGTTAGGATATGATTTGCAGGAAATATCAGAAAATAATTTGGTTGATGTCCGGAAGACAGCACATACTATTTATGTCTACCTTCCCTGCTATTGCCCCTAGGTTGCAGGTAGCTAGCTATATTCATGAATATGCGGCTGCACCCCCACATGACAAGTTTTCTTTGCTGCGGCTTTAAAAGCAGCTTCTACGCAGGCTGAGTTTGCACCAACAAGAAGGTAGGAACCTCATAAGAATGGTTTGCTTCCCAATCAAAATTTGAAGTACGGGAATATGCTGAAGGTCCCGGATTACATCCTTGTCCTGGACCCTTATGGATTTCTAGCAATTTCTTTTTTGCAACCACGTCCTTCAGAGAACGTGCAGAAAGGAAATTAGTGAAAGCCTTGAAAATAAGGAGGTGAAATATCACAGCTCTTCATTGAGATGTGAATTATCTATTCTTGGGCGAGCCTTTCAATCATTTATAAATAGTTCGGGGATGTTTAAGGTATTTTATAAAGAAATAGTTCGGGGTACCCCAAAGTCCAAAAACAGAAAGCCTCTAACAAAGAGGCCCACCCACGGTCCAATATATGAATATGTATGAAATTGATCAATAATTAACTAATTTCAATTAATTTCATGGATATTATTAATCAACATTTAATCCAAATATTTTTCTGTTTCTGCCTTTTGCTAAGCTGAATTTACGAATGATGGAACGTTGCCATCAGATCAATATCGATCGATTAATACTAAAACTGGTAAATCCAGGACTGAGATGGAAGACACGAAACTCGATCCAGCGGCTTCAAATGGCCGCAGGTTTGCAATCAACCCACTTCCGCAAACGCCTTGCCAAGTCTTTGGAGGCTCCAAAGCACATTACATGACCGCCTCCACGGACCCACCAAATATCGCAGCATCGTAAGCCTCACGTCTTGCCATGGCCATGGCCATGGCCATGGAGCATCCATGGAGCATTGCCAGGGCCCATGGCCCATCCCTTTCTGAGCATCTGGCATTTTGAATCAAGAGTGGTTTGATCTACTACCGGGTCCTGAAACAAAGTTAACAAAGCGACAATGACTCATAGCCCAATGATCAGATTCAAATTGCAAGTGTAGAGTAAATATAAGATTATGAGAACGTGCTGATCCCCCTCCTCCGGATTCTGAATGCGCAAGACTTCTCCTGCTGGAAGCACCTTTCGAAGTCGCAATGCAAATGAGTCGTCAAAGTGTTCCTCAGCAAATCGATGGAAAGGAACCTGTAAAGGGCCGTAAAGTGAAGTGTTTCAGCAACCTGGCTCTGAACTGTTCGAAAACAGTGAAAGCAGGCCATCGTTGTGTTGTGACTGAGTGCATCTGTGTGCTATATAGAATATAGATGAATATAGACCAATATAGATAGCTTTAATTTTCAACCAAGACTCAAATGGCTTCTTCAACTCTTCAACGCTGACAGCATTCCCTTCTGCCTCAAGCTTTAAGGCCTCGAGTGATGCACTACTGCAATGTCATCCATAGCCATTCTGCTGATCTACAGACCAACTTTGAGCATTAAACCGAGGTGGTGGTGGTTTTGCGATGTTTTATGAACTCTAGTACTTGCACGTGCTTCATTCAATACCAACACATGTGCAATAGTGTCGACTTTTCACGCCATCCAAGCCTCATTCTGTGCCCAGGCAGCTTCAGTAAAGCGCCGCATGTATGACCAGGTGGGTGGCCAGGGAAACCAAGGACCTTCGAGGCATAGGAAACCACGCGTGGTTTGCTTTCTCTTTATTCTTGTTTTTTTTTTAAATTAGCCTATGACTGCTATGACTGCTATGACTGAGGAAAAAGAAGTCAGCTGCCTCCGGGGCATTTGAAGAGCAAACCGCTTCGAAGGTTCACTGCCTTGCTATCCATGCACGGCTATTGCAACACGGGAAAATGTCAAACAAAGCCGTCCCTGAGCAGCCCTGAAAAAAATATGTAAAAGAAAGACGATGGCTGCTCTTCCAGCCTGCATCTGAAACTGTTCAGAGTCTCTCACACACACACACTTGCATCATGCTTTTTTGACATGTAGTGTATATTTTCTTATCTTCAAGCCATTTCAAGCCCTTGATTTGCTCCAAGCGGCCCAGAAGTGCAAAGTCAATGGAATGTCCAGTCCTCAGCTGATATAGCTAGCGACCCAGGAACCAAAACTGGAACACTAGACGTTCTCAGCCTTCCAAACCTGAACCCTCAGTGTGTCCAGAATCGCCTTCAATTGGTGTTGGAGTCATAGGGGGGGGGGCAAAATGGAAAAGTTGTCAAGTGGTGTCTTGGAGCAGTCGTTGTCAGGTCCTCAATCCAATTGAGCCAGGTGGCGGGCACAGAAAGCCCACTTTGTCATCGCTTCAAATGTTGTCCGGACACAATCTGGTGAGTGGACGGAGACAAAGCCTCAGTTTCACAGTCATAGCAGATATCAGCGTGGAAGGCATGGTCTTCTATGCCCAATTTTGTGCAACACCGGCCTTAAACCAGTGAAATAGAGCCTACAACCCTGCTTCAGGCGAACGAAAAGCTGACCAATCAGTATTTATCGAATCAGTCAGAACCAAAGGGTAGAGCCGCGAAATGCTACTACATACAATTCACGGCGCTTGAACACATTGTTGTGGCTACAAGCTATCACTTCGATCCATTGGACATTCAACGATTGTAATCCCCGCTGCTGCAACGATTAGTGCCGAAGAGATTGATTGAACACATTGCAAACATTTGGAAGTTCAGCACGAGTACCTGTCGATATTGGTTGCCCAGTTCAAAGAACGGCCAACGCTGCTCTGCATGCTGACACCTACCGGACCTACCGCCTACGGGTACAAACAACAGCAGAGTGATTGACTATCACGCTGGCTTCTTAATCCTTCACAAGGGACGCAAGCGGCAAGGGCTGCCACTCAGGCTGCGATTGACATGCACAAGAGACTTGTCCTCTCAGCAAACTCGCTGGGTGACAGTCTTAGGATCGCAACTGCAGCCTACTGCGTTGACGGCCTTTCTCCATACCGATCCATTTCGCTTGCCGCTTGAAATGACTTTGAAAGACAGTCACACGTTGCCATATGTTGCCCACTGATGACTTTCAAATGGACATGGCTTGCATGTTGGAGGTTTTGCAATGGTGTCTTGTGTATTTCTGCTCTTAATCAGATGATGGCCACATCCTTTGTGGGCGCCAACAGTAGTGTCAGTTGATCATATTCGAGAATACATTCAAAACATGACACCAATCCTTAGTGCCACTTGCCTGCTATCTGTTGGACTCTGTCAGACACTTTTTGCAAACTTGGGGATGTGTCACGGAAAAAACATGTCATGCTGCGTGTGAGCTGATTGAATGACCCAGTCTTCACTGCACCGATTTTACTTACGTAACTTACATCATCATGATTCTGTCTGATGCGCAAGAGACATCCATAGACATCCATAGAAATCCATCTGCAACTCTGGAAGCTCCTTCCCACTCATGGGCTTAACCACTTTGCTTGCGGTGGCCAGAGCCAGCATTCCACCAACTGAAAAGCCAACGGTGATAATTTCTCCTGTGGCAGGCTGACGAGACAAACTGCCATCAGTGGCACTCCAAACTTCAGCGGACACCGTGGAAGAAATTCTTCTTAGCTAAGATGCTGTAGCGGCAGCTGTTCTGTGAATCCATTGCATTCAGCCCCTGTAGGAAATCCAGCAGAAAGGTCCTGAGCTGTACATGGCCAATGTCTCTGCCAGGCTCCAAGACCTTTCTATAGTACTGTATTCTTTCGTTTCCTTTCAGTCACGCCGGACTTTATCACGAGTCAGCCTGCATCAGCACGGATCTTGTGCTATGTATGATTCAGAATAAAAACAATGTATATATATATAAGAATAATTATTATTAATAATAATTATTATTATCATCATTCTTCTTCTTCTTATTATTATTATCATCATCATTATTATTACTATTATTATTAATTATTATTATTGTTGTTATTATTATTATTATATATTATTATACATATATATATATTATTATTATTATTATTATATATATATTTGTTTAACTTACACAACTTTATATTGTAATAATATACTGTAAAATACTTTATATGACCCGAAGAACACCAGTCCAACTCCCAGCGTCGGATCTGATAGGCCAGTGAACGTCCCGTGCTGCCAACGAGCTGTGCCTGAGGCAGCGGCGAAGTGATGGAAGCTTTCGAGTGTCTTTGCCAAGTGTGAATGATGCTGTACTTAAACAAACTGGTGCCATATGGTGCCATCTTTCAGAAAAGCTATTGGCATAAATTCTTGCTCACTGACTGTCCACAACTCGTATCTACGATTTGTGCGCAAAAGTCTTTGATCCCGTTAGCGCCTGTGCCAGCATTGTGAAAGACGCACCAGTCTTCTGAAGGAGCAATGACGTTGCCTTAAGAAGCGCAAGCATCATGGCAAATTCAAAATCATTCACGGTCATTCGTCATCATGCATGCAACATCGCCGTAGCACTTTGCAGAAATTCATCAATGTAGCCCGCAATAGAGTCCGCATCGCTCATCCCACCTGCATTTCATGATGATGCGAGTGTGGCTGCATTTTCACAGGCAAACCGCAGGGCTTGGAACCTAACAGCAAGCACTTTGCACTTCGATCCTGAGAACATGCCTTTGATGTGTCTTACTGGAAGCTCTGATGGAGAACCCAGTTCTTTGATGCGTGGCTGCGCGGCTCTGTTTGAAACCGCTTGCCTGGTACAAGAATCCACAATCGAGATGCGCTTGGGGCCCTTGGAGGCTCCGGCCACCAAACAGCATACTCCTGGCGCCAAGATGCCACATGATGCAACCACTTTGGTGCATTGCCATAACATGCCATAACTGAGGGACGCGTCTCAAGTTCAAGAATAAGATTCTTCTCTTGCAAGGCTGCAAGGATCTTGGAACAGTCTTGCAACTTGAACAGCTTCACACAAGCCTGGCCTAGCCTATCTCTCAATGCATACTATCAAGAAAACCGTCAGTTGATCCCTGGCTCCTCTTTCTTCTCACGATGTTGATGAATCTCGATGCGGTACCTCTAGGCAACATCTGATGGGTCTGATGGAGACGAGAAAATGACAGGAGAACAAGCAAAGCAGAGGGAAACTGCCGTACGTGGCCGTCAATGCAGTGTGGGTGCCCCGCGGGGCCGCTAAGTGATTTCTGCCGCTTGCCCCGCTTGCCCCGCTTGCTCCGCTTCTAGGGAAAATAAGTGAATCTTCCTCCTTGCCCCGCTTGCCCTGCTTGCCCCGCTTGCCCTACTTGCAAACCGAGGGAAGATCGGTGGTTCTTCCCGCTTGCCCCGCTTGCCCCGCTTGCCCCGCTTGCCCCGCTTGCCCCGCTTGCCCCGCTTGCTTTGGTTTCACCACACAGCAGTATGAAAAAGGAATAGAGGTGGTAACGTGAATGGAATGTTTGGGCGAGTGGGGCGTGTGGGGCGAGTGGGGCGAGTGGGGCGAGTGGGGCGAGTGGGGCGAGTGGGGCGAGTGGGGCGAGTGAGGCGAGTGGGGCGAGTGGAGCGAGGGGGCGAGTGGGGCGAGTGGAGCGGCCGACGGGGATTAAGTGGCGACTCCAAACACCGTTGCAACAATACCAGATTGGATTCTGCAAGTTCCCTTTGTAGAAGACGTGTGCAAGATCTCCTTGACAGGTTCTTTCTAGGCGCTGCTGTGCAAGATCCTTTTGTACAAGGTCTGTATGAGACCAAACAAAGATCGACTATGTTTAAACATGTCCTAGAAAAATTGCGTTGAACATTACATGACACCAATGTGACATTAAGATATTAAGCATCAAGCATCACCGGAAGCAACCTCCAGCCATTCCAGCAATGCGCACCGACGCGCAGTGCACGTGCCCCGCGGGACCACAGACCCGATGGTCACAGTGAGGAGTGGACTATTGTGCCATCTCTATTTGATTGCGCACCAACATCACGCATGCTGGCATCAGCATCTGCTGAATCCCTAAGGTAGAAGCCATTGTCCTGGTGCCACTTAGCATCGGCACCTGCAGACGCAGGAGTCAGCGACATGATCGGTGTGGACAGGACTCCCGTGAGTCTTCTTTAATTCCCCCATGCAGCAGAAAAATTATATCGCAGTCGGAAAGGATGGTAGAAAACAGAAATGGTAGAAAACAGAATAAACAGGTGCAAGTTTCAATTCTTTCTTGGACTTGATCAGGAACAAAATAAAACATGTGTCTTGCTTCAACATCTCGAACGGCTATGTTCAGCGAACAGTGGCTTCACATGCGCCGCACAAACTATTTTGGAGCCGCGGTGTTGGCTGTCCGCTTTGCCTCAAAAAGAGTAGATTGGGCCTTTGTCAATCTCATGCCACCGGCGCACACGATTGAACACTAGAAGGCCAAGCAGACTGTTTTGAATGTGGCTTTGGACACGATGATGAACCACTATGTAAGATCTTCACACCACAATGTCTTGTCATGAAAATGGGTGGGTTGATTGAAATTGACGCACAATATGTTGCAGCCACCATACCGTCTTGATTGAAAGCATTCACCTCGTAGGGTCAGGAACACGCTCGGGGAATCGCACCATTATTGACGCGTATCTTTGGAAACAAGACTTATATACAACAAGTGCTTTGGAGCACATTGTCACTCTTTTTTGGGCTGACAGTTTAGACATGGGACCGTGCAAGACCTCGTATTTCTGGAATCCTACTTGAAATCATTGGCACTCAGTTGCAGCTTGGCAATCATGTCTTGAGCTTCCGAATTAGTCAAAAGGCCTTCCCAGGCACATGTCTGGTAGTACAGGACAGCGTGGCCACCTGGCGGGCCTCGTGGCTCGCTCTTTAGCGTGGCCTCCTTGCTCTTGGCGCTTTTCTTGTCCTTAAGTTTGGGCGCCTGTTCTTCCACTTCCTTCTTGTCAACCTCTTGCAAGATGCCAACTTTCAAGAGGTCTTTGACTGCTGCCAAGACGTACTTTGCTGGTTTTTCCTCTTTCTCCTTCTGAAAGTGGTACTTCAGAACAGAGCGAATGTGCGCAGTGGAGGTTGGACCAGCACATCGAGGATTGGACAGAATGAACTCGCTGCAATTTCATCTTGGCATCCAAATCTGCAAGTCCTGGGGTCTTGACATCTGGCACGGCTTTGGGGCCTACCAAGGCTTGGACTTGCTTGGAGCGATAGAAGGCAAACCACAAGCACATTTGGCGACGCCAGATATGCAAGGCATGTCACAAATCGAAGACGGTCATCTCAACGGCAAACTCATCTATGATCCTATCAAGGGCCAACGCGCAGCGGGCCTCAGAATACTGCCTGCAACGCATGGCTGCATTAGCGTACCAAGCCACATCTGTGTCAGCATAGCGTAGCTTCTGTTAGATTGGTTCTTCTACATTCTCGTGATTCTCGTGAAAGAAGTCGGAGATTCCCTGCAAAGCCTTCCTGAGCACGGGCAAGGCGAACTTGTCAAAATAGTGGTCTTTGTCCTGGTTGCTTGCCACGCGCCCCATCCAACCAAAGAAGTCAATCAGGAACTCTTTGCTGGACTGGCTCTGCTGATCAGGGTCACTTGTCACTGGCCTTGTTTGCCACGTCGCATGGATTCTCTTGGAAAACATGCTTGCAGTCGGCTGGAGCACATACTCACAAAGCGACACCAGTCCATACACTTGGGTGTAATGACTCAGCGCCGTGGCACCATCTCCAGTGACTGTCTTGTCATCTTCGCAGTTCAGCCAAGTGCACATCTTTTCTTTGTTGCCGTAATGCAGACCTGAGTGTCGGGTCTCCCTCCCGGATGTCACGGCATATTGTTGTGGCAATCTCATCCGAAATGATGCCAGCTCGGGCATATTCTTTGATAGAAGCACGAATACCCTTGATGGTGGCATCCGTGCATGTGGCGCCACCTGCCTTGATGACAGCAGGGACATCTGCATGGGAAAGAAGCTTTTTGCTGGTAAAATCCTTCAAAGAACTCTTGCGCATGCTGGGGTCACCAGCGCAAACAATCTAGACTACGCAGCCACGTCGGTGCTCCTCATCAGGCTGCAATCGAAGCCGCGTGCCTGCATGGATGCTCCATCCAACCAATGTTGCTGAGGATAGGCGCCATGAATGTCTCAGGCTCCCAACCTTCCTTGCGGGCAATGGTTTTCAAGCTGACTTCGAAAGGCACGGGCAGCACTTCTCGAGTTCTGAAGGCAAAGTCTGATGCCACAGCGTGGTGGTCCCTGGGGTCTTTCAAGGCTGCATTCAGAACGGTTTGATAAGAAGCCTCTGGGCTTCCAAGCCCTTGATATGTGCTCTTGGTGTGAAGCAACGAAAGGCTTTGTGCTTCATCCCTGCAAGCCAAGTACTCCGACATGGCGTCGTGCATAGGATCCTTCACCGTGGTAGATGCCTTGCTGGTCCGACTCAGGTCCGTAGATGTCAATCCCAAAGCTTGGAATGGACAAGCGGGCTGCTTCACTTCCACCCTGTGTGAAGGGAGGGCTTTCTGGGCTTGGGGACCTTTGGGTGGGCGGCACTGGGCTGCGTTGTCCTCTGGTCTTTCTTTTTACCCCCTCAGCCACAGCCTCTACTTCCATTGCTGCCTCAATCTCCATCTCTTGCAAAGCGGCATCATCAGCCTCTTCCTGGGAATCTTCATTCTGAAGACAGAATGGGCAGTCATGCATAGGGCAGCCCTGCTTTAATCGGTATTGCTGCAAGCAATCCGCGTGGCACACGTGCGAGCAAGAGTCTCGGCTCGGGGAGCACAAGTGTTTTTCCGCATCGTCTGCGAAACCATCTCCACAAACTTCACACGTGGCCATGTCTAGGAAGCTAACTCCTACAACTTGAACTTGATGGCGCGGCTTGGGTACCGGAGAGCACTTGTCAATGCGTGGTATCATGGTCATATTTGTCGGATTTGCCTTTGCAGTCCCAAGCGTGATATCGACTCCATGCAACCAAACTGGCTCTCATGCTGCGCTGCGTGGACAGCCGGAACAATGTGAAAATGTTCACATGCCCTCCACATCTCTCAGTTTCAACACTTCTGCAGCGCGCAGCGAATTTTTTAACCTCGCGACATTATCAAAAACTGCTTGGCCTAGTGTACAAAAGGACTGCTTTCTGGAAGTTTCTTGCGATTGAGAGCACAATATCGTCCATGCCATTGAGACCCACAGGTCGCAGTGGACGAAGCCAGCGCGGCGCTAATCAGGTACGGATAATTTGTGGTCTGCGGCCTGCAGCGTCTGCAAACAAGATTCTTGCAACGCTTGAACCCGAGCCTCAGTCCAATGAAATCTTGGTTTTGAAAACAACTCCCAAGCCCATAGCGGAATGTCTGGCGGCAAATTTTCAGGTGGACGTTCTTGATCAACTTGACTGTACAGGTGCCAGTAGACAAGCAAGAGACGAACATTTTGCTCATCCAGCGCCCGCGGCAATGCAAGGTCAACTTCAACACCCGCAATGGGGCTCTAATGCACCTGAACGCCAGCGTCTATGTACATACGTCTGGTGGAGCATGCTGCGGGGAGATGACATCCTCCTCGTCAGAGGAAACTATAACGAGCCCATCATCTCCGTGTAAATCAGGCTTGTAGAGCAAGCGAATCCGCTGCACATCTGCCCGGCCGCTGCCATCTCCAGACCGCCTTGGAGGGTCAAATTCCAGAGCATCCAGCTGCAACCAGGTGTCAGCACATTCAAAGCATACATTCTCTGTGAAGCCAAAGGCTGCAGCTAAGGTCACACCCTCCTGCCAAGGGAGCCACGCACCAAACGGAGCCATGGATCGCACACCACAATAAAAATTGCCAGGCCAAATTCCATACCCAGCATCACCGGGGGGAAGCATCTTGCGGCGTCAGCAGAAAGGGCGCTGCGTTGCCATTAACATAGGGCTAGAGGCTTTAAAAGGGTGACTCTGATGCTGCTTGTGTGTGTGTGTGATTGTGTTGCATTAATAGGTTCAATGACTCAATGATATACTGTCCTGACATTGCCCGGCTCCGAGAACACAGGTAGACAGAACTAATTCAGTCGACCCGAGTTTTCAACCAAAACAAAGGCAACAGAGGCACATATAGGCGAATAGCTGGCAACAGTCAGATCATGCAGTGCAGCAGTGGACATCCGGTATGGGGAACCGACGAGCAGATCATAGCAGATCAATATTTCTCTGCCGTGCTTCACAAACTTGTCCGATCTGTCCAAATCTGTCCAAGCAAGAACAAAGCAAGAAAGAAGCGATTTCTTATCACCTGTGCTGCAGCAATACGGTCCTGTAGATCTTCAACCACCGACTTCAATAGAGGATGATGGCCTCTTCAAGCTCAAGGAAAAGACCTGGCTCAGAGAGCACAGGTGGAACATCTTCTGCCACCCTTGGTTTCAAGGACAACCGCTGCAGGATGTCTTTGTGATCAGCAATGAGGCATGGGGCATCTGGACTCGCTGCACTTACCTTGCGCTGTAGCGCCAACTGGTCATGCAGCGGATCTCCGCATACGATGGTTGGAGACACGCCTCCACCTCTTGCTCCTTGGGGTACTTGTTTTTGTAAAATGCATCAAGCAGCAATCGCTGCTTTCTGAAACTGTCCGTGGCGTGAGCTACTGGGGCTGCCTCAGCTAAGGACAGGCCTGATGCCAGCCTGTCCTGTTTCAGGTTGGTTACCACAGCATCCAGATCAGGTTGCAAGTCGACCCAGTCTTCTGTTTCAGCTGCTGTTACAGGCTGAAACAAGGCCCCGTCTACCGTGACCCAAGCTAGGAGCACCGTATATGGGTGTGTTTTCTGACTTGCTTCATCATACATTGTAATCCTTTTTGCTACATCCTGGTTTCCATCTCCTCTGATCGCTGAACCACTGTACACATTGATGAGCCGCTGCATCTCGCGTGAAGCTGCCTTGGTGTAATCTTCCAATGCTGCCATGAGAATGGAGCGGATGGATACAGATTTGGGCACTGCACTGCAAAATTCTTTCATGCGCCCAGCTACATTGAGGGAAAGAGCATTGCCACAGATTTGCTCCACCAAAGCCCGCCTCGTTGCCCTAGAGTTGAGGCGGTCGCAGAACAGCTGCACCAAATGGAGCAGGAATCGCCGTGTCAGCAAAACAGGGGCTTGCTTCTTCACGTAGTGCACCAGCAGGGCAGGTCAGGATAGGCTGCAACAACATCATGTGTCTCCACGGTGCAGTTGTCGAAGATGCGCAAGTGCGCGCACGTATGGCAGCGATGGCGGCGACCATCCACTTGCACTGGCAATGGCAGGTCCAGAATCCAAAAGGAACGGCTCTCATCTGCGCGTGGGGCCGCGTGATGGGTAATACCTGAAGCAGCTCGTTCGGCCAGGTGCGCCTGCAAACGTGGCAGAACGGATCGCACCGAGTGATCAACTGTGCATGAAGTGGCCAAACCTAGCTCTGCATTGCCAGCCTGCCAGAGAGCTGCCAAAGCTGCATTCTCGCGCAAAGCTCTGCCTTGATCTCCTTGTGTTTCCCCCGGTTGCTTCTGGAACAGCAAGCCTAGGCATGCAAGGCTACATAAAAACAATCTGTTGCGGGTCTCTCTTTAAAGGATGGCAACATGTTACAAAAAATCATCGAGGCCAAGCCACTCGCTCCACGGCGATCATTCGCACAGTTGGCAACCTGGAAATGTAAGCCAACATCTTTGAGCTCACTCCATCTGCATGTGCGGGTCTCTGTGTATTTGGCTTTGAGGACGGTTCGTCCTTGAAAAGTTGCCTGCTTCAATGGAACCACATCAGCCAAAGTAATTTTTCTGCTTGTCCATACACTCAGAATGAACACCGGCTGATCGTCCCGGAAAGCAAAGAGACCTCCTCTGGGCTGCAACTGTGTGACTTTGGCAGCACAGATCTTCAGGAAATGCACTACCATCAGTGTTGTCAGCAGCTCCAACGTCCTTCCTGCTGCCAGCCGTTGGGCAAGACTGCAACGGTCAGGTCCCCTCTGCGGGCTTGTGCTGGCCTGCAAGGCTTCTGATGCTGGTGCTTTTGCCAACTTCGGCTTTTGTGAATCACCTTCCCTAGGCACACCATCCCAACCACGCAACTTTTGGACAAAGAAGCTTCCTCTGGCGCATCCGGCCATGTCTGGCGCAGGGCGGCCAAACATTCGGGGGGCAAGCTGTTGATTGACTAACGGCCAACGTGAAAATAGTACCAGTCAGATGCCATCCGCCTCTTCCGAGATTCTATACGTTTGGAACCTCGCAGCATAGCTAAGGCAACCTGCGGCCCCTGAATGGTGAAGGCTCGCCGAGTCGCTTGTGCTTCGTCGGCCACGGCTTCAAAGCAGAGCTACAAGGTTGTAAATAACAATGATGATCTTGTTGACAGCATGAACACGTACATCTACATATCAGCTCAATGTCACGATGTCTACGTCAATCACCCGGCTCGGAGAGCACAGGTTGACAATACGTGCCTAAATTTGAGCCCAACGGATGAAGATAGGCGCAGACAAGCAAATGCTACACCACACTGTAGTTAAAAAGCATGAGGTTCTCTGAGCATGCAGGGCAGCTGCAGCAGACAGTGCATCTGAGGAATTGGGAGGATGTCCCGACTATTTCGACCACTAGATTACCATTGCGCCCAGCTTCCCATCGCAAATTTTTACACCATAGCAGGCTGTGCCGCAGACCTGTTTGTCTATACCATATGTCCAAGTTTGTGAAGATGTCTAATTTTGCCGCAGCTGCAGTAGCAACATTAATGGCCACTGCAACTAGAAAGTGGCAAACGCAGATTGCACTGCGGAGCTGTCCCCGCCTCCGTCCTGCGCTCCCCATGTAACAATGGATCCATTGTAGCGCACTGCTGCAAACGCTTTGGCAGACCCATGTAACTTGACATCCGTCAGCATTGGCAAAGAACCCTTTCAAAGAGGGTGTGACTTGCCGGACTTTCTCGTATCACAGAACTATCGCCTCGCAAGGTGGCCTTTCCCCAGGTGACAAGCGACCCTTCCTCCGTGACAGCTGCAAATGCATAAGGCCCTGAACATTCACAATGCCTTGAAGTCGGTCTTGGACCATCGAGCTGTCTCCTCCATTACTATAGGGTCTCCCCAAGCAACCACGGACCCATCCAACACAATGGCAGCGAATGCAGTATGCGTGCAGTGAATCTGCGTCACTCCCTTCAGTTTGCCCTATCTCCGCCACACGACGGATCACCCCAGGTGACGACAGACCCATCATGACGAAGGGCGGCAAATGTAATCATAGTTGGAAGGCAGCAGGCCAAGTAGACACTGCGACCCAAGAAATTCAAGAACCTTAGTTGCTGCGATATCTTCGATCCAAACACACGCTCTCGGACACAGCCCAAGTGGGTCAAGATCGCAGCATCAACCTGTTCATTCCGGCCTGTTGGCCAACCTAGCACTCTCTGCAAAAGATCATGCGGGGGCGACGTTCGGGTCGCAGCAAAGGCTGGGCAGTCCCAGGCCAAGTGATCCCATGTTGGCACATTGCCAGACGCACACCACTTGCAAGGAGCTGGTGCGGTGTTGGGGTCTCGAATCCTATCTAAACGGGCATCTGAAACAACGGCACCAATCAAGCAAGCACGTGAGTGAGTGTTGGAAGACTGGTATGTTTGGCGCGTGAGTTTGGCCCGGGCCTCTTGATAAACACTTCCTTGTACAGCAGTGGCATCACGACGGCCACTTGACAAGAACTGTTGAAACTGTTGTCTGCGCCACGCTTCACGCAAAGCATGGTGTTCTCTCTGTTTGGTGTTTTCATCAATGGGTTGTGTCCAATCAAGCCGGAATTGAATGTCCGGGTGAATCCATGTCCATGCGGCCTCTTCGTGCCAATTCAAACTTTGGAGCCAGCTACGGACCGTGCCGAGCCATGTACCTCTGGTAGCAGCATTGGGCCAACGCCGTGGGTTTTCACGCACAATAGGAGCCAAGTGAATATAAGCTCCGAAACCTGCAGCAAAATTTAAGTTCAGCCTATGACCTGAGAGCATGTAAAACAAATTGGGGGAGCCAGCAATATGGCTGCCACCAGTCGTTTTTCGAATGCAAGTGGACAAAGGTTTGGCAGAGAGGGGTTTGAGCCAAGCCCCCCATGCAGCTTTTGTAATTGCCAAAGAATTGACCAAGAAAGCTTTAAGACTGGCTGTAACAGGCAGAAGTCCAATTCTTTCGACCCTCAAGCGGGCATCTTGCAGCCTCGCATCTTGAGAAGGCTTGTGCGCAGCTCCTAACCGTGCCGTAAAATCAACCCCTAGAACTCTAGCACCTTGCACAATGTGAGTTTCGTCGAAACCCGCGGCAATCAATCTGGGCTTAAAGGCAGCTTGCCGAGCCACGATTTGAATTTTTTCTTCGTTCTCTTTCAAACCCACCTTCGGTGAGAGCTGTTTCCAGGTGTCCCACAACTGGGCCGCTAGCTCGGGCGTTTTAGCCACCATGTTTCGGTCATCCAAAAAGGTGCCAAAGTGTGTGGTTCAGGCCTTGCTTGCAACACCCGGCCTGTGAGGCCAGTGAGGACTGCAAGAAGAGTCAAAGGGCTGATGGCGTCTCCCTGAGGGATCGAAGTGTCGACCTGCACTGGCTGCGGCAGGCAATCTCTTCTGAAACACAACCACCTTTCCTGGCTCCAAACTGAGGTAAGAGCAAAGAGGATTTCCTTGGGGCAACCTAGATACTCAAGGCATTTAATTCCAATTCGGGGATCAACGGTGTCGAAACATTTAGAAAAATCTAAAGAAAGGAGGACCCCGCCCTGTCTCTTTTCAAAGTCTTGAAGCAGCCGATCAACGGCATGAGCAACACTTTTCCCCTGGATGCCGCCACAGGCTGAGGAGTGGACCCAGCTCGTGACCCAAGCTCGCGTCTGCGGTCTGCGCGTCCACGCAGAGGCAATGGCGCGCCAGATGACGCTCTGAATCGCAATTGGCCGCAAATCTTTGGCTGGCAACGCGTGATCCGTGTCACGCAACTTAGCGTTTGGCTTTTGGAGCAAAATTTGCCGAATACTTTTCCAAACCGTGGGAACCTCACTTCTCGAGAACCATCTGTTCAACAACTCAACCAGGATGACCCAAGCTTCTTTGGGCCAGGCTGCAATTTCGTCACCTGACCACCCATCGCATCCGGCGGCTGTGCCACGCAGCCTAGAGGCTTGGCTGAAGAGTTCCTCAGCAGTGAGAGGGGTCCAAGCTAGGGGTGAAGGTTGGGGAACACCAAGTTTCCAGAAATCAACTGCTTCTTCAGGGTCGGGCCGGTCCCGTTCCCAAATTTTTTGCCAAAAAGAAAGAACAGCCTTTAAGGATTCATGATCAGAAGAGGTTGCTTTTCCTTGTTTATAACCATCGTAAACAGAAGTGACAGGCAATGTGTTGCATTTCTTGACCCACCGACCTGCGTCTTTGCAACTGGACCTCATACGCTCGCGCCAAGCTTGGAGCTGCTCTGTTTGAGTGCTTTGGACATGGCTACGCAATTCTTGCTGTGCCCATTCCCTGGCTTCACCTAAGCTTTGCAAGCCTTCTCTGACAACAAAAGGATGAGAGAAGATACGACGGATCAGGATGGCCGGTGGCTGGCGGCCACGGCTTTGCTGGTTTTGGGCTTCAGCAATACGGCCCAAAAGCTTGCGCAGCCGGAGTTCTTTGAAAGTCGCTTGCTGGGCGATGCGAAAGGTACGAGCATTCGCTGCTTCAACTTGAAACTCTGAACCTTTGTTTCTACTCCGGCTTGGCCTTGGAACAGTAGCCCCGCAGGTTTCCAGGGCAGAGAGGTGTGCTCTCTCCGCAATGTGACAAAAATCACTCCATTCTTGGTTGGTATTAGAAACTGGAGGGACCGTGACTTCCGACCACGGAGTTTTTAAAGCATTTTTCCATTCTTGCAAAGAAACATTTGGCGGCGCCGTCCATTTCCTCGTTTGAACTGCCTTAAAGGACCAAACATGGCTTTGGCTATATTGCAGAGAAAAACAAACGGGCTTATGGTCGGAAAACCAAACATCTTCAAATCGCACCTTGTCAATTGTTAGCAAGTGCGAAGCCCAAATCCAATCAATACACCGGGTACCAGACCACCGCGTGGGCTGTGGGACATCATTCTGATTGCAAACCGCACAAGTGCCGCCAAATCCGCTTATGTGGTTCCACCTTTCCCCAAAACAAGGTTCCTCGTTAAAGTCACCCACAATAACCAAAGGGGTGTGTTCACCAGTTGCTCCAACCCATTCATCCAAAGTGGAAGCAATGTCGCATGCCGCTGAGTTAGGCGCTAAATAGGCACCTATGAGGATGGCGTGGTCGAGCTGGAGCATGACCGCTTGACCTTCGGCACGGGTGTGAGTTCTGAGGAGGTGTGCAGATTATCAAACCTTACAAAAATTCCTACCCCACCGTGGGTCGGAGGGCAAGCAAACCAAGATCTATAACCATTTCGGAGCATAAAGTCAGCCAAGTCAGCTTGCTTAGCCGTGTTCATGCAAACTTCTTGTACCACCACCACAGGCGGGCGATGTTTAGTTGCCCATCGGGCCGCCGCCCAGCAGTTGGAGGCCCCACCAACATTAATAGACATGAACTGCATCTGCTGGCTGCGTCCTGATGGCCCTGGATGCGGGTGCACGTCACCATCCTGGACAACATCTTTGAACCAAGAGCATTTCTGGGCAGGTGGGACCCCGTTGCGCCCCCCTTTCGAAATCAAGTTCTTTTCCATGAGCTCCAATTCCTTGTGCGTGACTTTCCAAGTGGGCACAAGAAACTCAATGAGCTTTGGGTTTTGGCACCTGTGTCTCGCCCTGGGCAGCTGCAGTCACGCTTCTCACATCATAGAGCTGCTGCCGTACCATTGCATTGTCAGCAACCATCTTCGGCAAGCCCCAGGTAACAACAGATCCGTATGATGTCACCGCGGCAAAAGCGCGGCCGCTGGCAACGATCTGCACCACTTTGCGCAGGCGCTTGCACACACCAGAGCTGTCGGAGCCGTAGGCAGGATGCCCCCATGTCACTACACGGTCATTGTGACACCACAGAGCAAAGGCTTTCCAGGTTGAAGCGAGACAAGGGAAACGCGCGACACATGTAACGCAGTGTGCGCTTGCAGCCGAAGGAATCATACCATCGACCCGCAACACCGCACCTCGCGCGTCCAGGATGACCAAGAACTGTTGATCGAAGCATCGCTGCAAAATCTCTTTGAGTTCCTGAACCTTGGCTGATACTGCTAGCGTGACAGTCTGCTGTTTCCCACTGGGCAGTACCGCAGTTATGTCTTGCGTTTCCATGGCGGCCAATGCAGCGAATGTATTTGTTTAAGCCAATTTCCCGGCACAGGTGGACAACAGTAGCTCAGGTGATCAAACTTGAGCGCAACGGGAGCGACAGTTGCAAATAGGCACAGTCAACATGGCACTGGCAATTTTGATGCAAACAAGGAAACCATGATGCAGCGCAGCTGCTGCAAGGACTGCGAACCAGGAAAATCGAGAAAAACAATTGAAAATAATGAGAAGGTGTTTGACGCAAACAAGGACACCATGGTGCAGTACAGCTGCAGCGCGGTCTGCGAACCTGGAAAATTGGGAAAAAATCGAAAATCAGGTGAGTGGTTTTGAAGTAATGGCAGCATGCAGCATGACACAGACCACAACCAAGCCAGCCGGCTTTTTCTGCGCTTTTCGAACGAAGCTGAATCGTTTCCTGGCCCTTGAGACAGCTGATCTGAAATCATCGGGGAGCAGCTAAAGCCCCCAGGATTAATCAAAGGTATATTCCCAAGCCATGCATGGCCGTGGAAGCAAGTGCTGGCAAAGTTCCACAGTAGCCCAGCGACTACCAGAAGTTGGCAACTTCACAAAAGCTTGACAAGATGCGCGCTGGTCCGGCGATGGATGCGTGCTCTCAGGAATGAGCAAGTTTCACTGACCCGACTCTGTGAGATTCTCTTGAGCCGAAAAGTGCGCAGCGTCTAAAGCTGACATGACTCAAAACGAAATCTTTCGGAAACATCTGAAACAAGCAACAAGATTCGAAATCAAGGTTCTAAAGTTCACGTTATCTCTGAATACCAATCCTGCCCGCAAAGACACAATCACTCCACCAAATTCAACCCCGGCCTCGGGCATGAGCGTGAAGATAAACTGCAAAAAAAAGACTCCAAATAGGGCAGTCGTGGTAACGGTACAGATGATGAATTTCTGTCGCCGGGAGATGAGTTCCTGACATCTCGCTGTTGACTTCAAGATGTCCCAATCACAAACAGAATCTGCAATCCACAGCTCAAGACATTATATACACCAGCACACTTTGCGTCGCTACTTACTGGCTTGGTTCGAACCACTATACCAAATCTCTATATTTCCATACGGCCCACTGCCTAACCAAGTACGGGTTATAACATACATCCTTGTGATTGTACTTTTGTATGCTCGAGATACCATCGACAGCCCGGCTCAGAGAGCACAGGTAAGCCAAGGGCCGCTAATCTTGACAGTGGCAAGTGGCACCACCAGATAGAGCCAATGTTTGCAAGTTCAATCACATTGGGAAACATGCATCTGGAAACACACAGACCCGCAAGAATGCCAGATAGGATGTCAGAATGTATGCCACATAGACTCCCATAAAAAATGCCAGATAGAATGTCAGGGAATATGTCAGATGAAATCTCAGACAGAATGCCAGATAGAATATCAGATAGAATGCCAGAATGCCCGATAGAATCTCAATATATATATATATGTCAACCAGAATGCCAGTTGACCGGGGCCACTCGAGGAAAGTAATTTTGACTATTCTCGTTTATCAGGTGGGAGCTCCAATTTGCGCAAAATGAGGCCTGCCAGTGTATATCGCGTGCCCGCTTGCCCCGCTTGCCCCCTTGCCCAGCTTGCCCCGCTTGCCCCGCTTGCCCCGCTTGCCCGGCTTGCCCCGCTTGCCCCGCTTGCCCCGCTTGCCCCGCTTGCCCCGCTTGCCCCCGTCAAGTGGGGGGGAGTGGGGCGAGTCGGGCGAGTGGGGCGAGTCGGGCGAGTAGGGCGAGTGGGGCGAGTAGGGCGAGTGGGGTCGAGTAGGGCGAGTGGGGCGAGTGGCCAAAGTCAATTAATTTCCCTACCAAGGCAAGTGGGGCGAGTGGGGCGAGTGGCGGATTTCAATTAATTTGCTAGCCCAGGGCAAGTAGGGCGAGTGGGGCGAGTGGGGCGAGTGGCGGATTTCAATTAGTGTTCCTCGTGGGCGCCCGCAATGTGATGTTTCAACCAGATTTATCCAACAGTAACCCATCATTCTTTCAATCTCAATGAACCAAAGTGTCATGGAATCCTATCAATCGCAGAGACCACCAGAAAGCTGCCAACCCCACAGAGCTGGACCTTGCTGATGTCTTCCGAAACATGCACCACCGAAGCCTGGAACAATGAGATTGTCAAGCACCAGAATCAAAGCCGATCATAGCCGATGGTCAAACAACCACGAGCCTTACGATGCGTGAGAGTGACGTTACCCAAAATCTGTTTTGTCAGCTGAGTTGGCCGGAATCCTTCGAGGATGTGCAAAAAATGGCAGATTCCTTGAGAAGACTGTAGAACATCAAAGCCACATTGTTCAACTTGTAGCTGTTGCCAAATCAACATCTGCCGCTCGCCAGGATGAGGCTTACCCCAGCACCTCTGCCAAACTTTCCAGCCACGAAGCATGGCTTCCAACTTGGCGGGGGGAGGGAAGCAACAAGAAAATATGGAGAAGTGAAGACTCTGCCCTGGAGACCGCGAACCCATGTAATAATGACTGTAGCAATAGTAGCAGCTGTAGTAGTGGCGTGTCACGCTGCAGACATTCCACCGAGGTGCCCATGCGACTCTCGATCCCCCTTTGCTATCTGTACTCTATATGTGGCAGAGGAACCAGTCTTCTGCCTCCTTATGCAAGCAATCCCAGGAAATATATGGAAATGTGCCAAAAGTATCCAAAAGTCAGAAGGTGGTCATCAATCAGTGCATCAAGCTCGCACTGCAGCCTTTTTTGCCTTGTCATCCGTCTCCAACATCTGCATGGGCAGAGCCTTGCCGATCCCAGCCACTGTACACGTGTTGGGCTGTGATGAAACGCTGGCATCCAGGTCAACTGGAGGACAAGTCCGGCATCTGGGGCAAGGGATGCACACAGCTGTGACTTCTCGGGTTCATTGCCCTCGGTTCAAGTTCAAAGATGTAGCTCGAGATAGCTCGAGTGGCTTAGAGGCTTAATGGCAAGTCAGGGATTGAAAGGATGGAAGGATTGATGGAATATATGGAATGCAGATGCATCACCGGAAATCCATCTGTAAAGTGGCTTAGAGGCTTAATGGCAAGTCAGGGATTGAAAGGATGGAAGGATTGATGGAATATATGGAATGCAGATGCATCACCGGAAATCCATCTGTAAAGTGGCTTAGAGGCTTAATGGCAAGTCAGGGATTGAAAGGATGGAAGGATTGATGGAATATATGGAATGCAGATGCATCACCGGAAATCCATCTGTAACCTTAAAGCACGTGGATACCGCACACAAATAAACAAGAATAGATCATATCATACCATCAGACTACTCGTGGATTCCATGTTCTCTGTTGCTTTTGGTAAATCCAATGGGTTGACAAATGTTCAAACCCTCTGTTGTTTCCTCGGACATTAGACATTGCCAGTCAAGCATCCACATCCCACGCTCAGAATGTGAACATGTGTGGTAGTTCGCACTCTTCCTTCCAACACCCTCAAATGCTCCTTCCAATTCTACTTGGAATTCACCAGATTACATTGAATTGAATCCACTATCTTTCTCCATATGCAAACAAACATGACACTTGGGTATATGATGATATATGATGATATATGATGATATATGATGATATATGATGATATATGGTGATATGTTATTCTATATGGATATACATATGTATATATATATATATAATCATAATATATGATATGGGTCATTGTGAGTGTGCCCACACTATCCTCATCTATCCTCCATATAAGTAGCATTTTTGCCCGTTGGCGATGCCAAAAACCCTCCAAGTCTCTGCTGCTGCGAGAGGTGCGCTTGGCCGCTGAGACGGAAACCTGGATGGGATGCTCCCCACAGGCCCCAACCCGCCGGTCATTTTCCATCATCTGCAAGTCTTTCAGAAAGATGTTATGATTAAAGAATATTAAAGATGATAAAAAATGGTTAGAAGTTCGAAATGGTTGGAAATGATTGGAAATGCTTGAAAATGATGAAAAAAGAAATTCAAGATGGTTGATGCTTCATGATGTTTCTTAACATCTCCAAGCTACCCAGCTTCAAATGGCCATGTCTTGGCACCATCATGGAGGCAGCATCCAGCGGAAACCATCGCACCATGGCTCCATCTTTGGTCCTAAGCTCTCCAGGTACAGCATCAACTCGCTCCACCTGACTACATATGTATATATATAATTATATATATATATGCGTGTGTATATATATATTGTTTAATACTGATATATAATATCTGACAAAAATGGCCAGTAACTAGACATGCACCATGGACCAAAACTTCCAGTCTTTCAGCTGCAGTCCAAGCCACCGCCGGCTTTCCGCCAAGATCCTGTGCACATGGGCGCGACAATGATGAAAGTACTCCGATGGAGACCCACCACGAATGGCTATCGTGGCTCGTTGCCAGTTGCATGGAAATTATGAGGTTTGAACGCTGTGTCTGATCATTTTTGGACATACCATAGGACCATAGGTGCACGAAGTCCGCAGCCAAGCAGCTGGCTTAGCGGGACCAGGACCTGCCCAGAAAATTTGCATGCGCTCAACTGGCTCAACCCTCTTGATCTGTTGGTGTGACGTCAATTTATTCGCACCTCACCACCTCGGCACCTCACCACCTCGGCCTATCTCTCAACCCTCAATAACCCTCACAGCGCCCCCACGGAGATCAATTCAAAACACTGTCTCTCCCCACACCCTCGATACCAGCAAAAATATGCAAAAATTGCATTCCAGTCCAATCTTCACACGCCTCACATTGATTTTGCTCTGTTTCATCGACACACCCGTGGCTTGTTTGGAAGATCATTTTGCATTGCCAGGTGTGCTGGTTGCAAGTGACCAACCCAATCGCGTGGCGCCTGGCCAAGCAATCCATCGCATTTGGTCGACATCATGTGCCGAGCCTGGCAACCCTTGAGGATCGTTGAGGTATTAAACCTGGTCTCACTGGGGATTTCTTACAGTATCACAGTGGGCACTTGCACTGTGCCGTTCAAAAGTCTTCTGTCTGGCTCATTGCTCCAATATGTTCCAAGTTCCAATATGTGTTGAGGAAATCGGCACCAGGAATTCACATGCTGCTATTGCATGGAAGTTTAAGCCTTGCGGTGGAAGCATCGGATTCGGACCAAAGAGCTTGTCGAAGTTGCTGGACCCAAGCAGAACCTCCTGAGTTTCTAGCAGCTCCAGTTTCTATACCACTCCATCCAGTTTTCATGTTTTCATGATGTTTCCTTGAACCCTATTATCAACATTTATATATCAACATTTATCAACTGTCATCAACTCATGTCCCTGCTACCTCTCAGCAAAGCCAGCTACCAGCCTCTGCTCCTCCCAGCTCCATCCAGCTCCCATTCCAAGCATCTGATCCCACCAGGGCGATTTTGTCCACATCCGCAGCGGGGCCAAGGCAACATCCGCCACCTGTCCCTGTGGGGTCTGCGGGTTCTTTAGCTCCAGGCGCACCAGGACGTTGCAGTACTGATCCTGCTCTCGAACTAGGCCCCGGCCACAAATCAGGTGCACATGCACGAAGCCTCAGCGTTGAATTAAGCTCTCAAATGAGGTCATCCTGAGGGAAAAAAGGCAGATGGAATACTGAATACTTACCACCCTGAGATCCCTGAGTTTAAATATAGCAACAGCTGCAAGTTGAAACTGCCTGCAAAGCCTTTTGCACTGGCGTTTTTAATCAACCACATTGGTCGAGTCACATCTACTCAAAGATGGTTGTCGTGGCAGCGTGGTCGGGATGCAAGGCATCACATTCGTAAGGCCTCAGCGAAATACGCTACCGGAACGCTGCCACCAAAGCGTGTCCTGTCCAGATCTTTCACATTCTTTCACAATCAACATCAATCAACCACATCTCACTGCTGTTCTCGCCGCCAAAAAGGCTGCATGCTGCAGCTATTCCAAGCTCGTTTGAGTCAAGCTTCAGTATTTGGCATCCAGAGCCAGCTCAAAGGCTTTGGCGCCCATGATGACAGAAGCATCCCAAGCACCAAAGCCAACCGCAAAAAGTGCCTTGGAAGGTGGAGGATAGATGGAGGGAGGCTCAGCCGGTCCGGGGTTTTCCGACACTTCAAGGGCACGGGATCTATATGTATATCTTATAGATCATTTGTAAATATATGTACGGTATATGATATGTATGTGTGTGTGTGCACATGTATCTCCTCATTGATTTATACCTATTTTGTTACTCGTCTATTTTACATCGGTCTGTACATAATACTGTCCTCTGCCCTACCATGCCGGTACTGTGTGAACTGCTTCCAAGCTATCCACGGCACTGTTTTAAGCAGATTTCGCGGAGAGCTTTCCAGGACGCGTGGCAACAGCTGCGCGATGAGCACCCACACCTGGCAATATCATGAAGAAACCACACCCAAAATCGTCAATGCCTCCCTGGATACAATCTTGGAAAACTTGATGCACTGCAACGGCAACTCCAATTGCCTTCAAAGTCTGATGTCATTGTCGTCTCAACATATGCAACCCAGTCTTACACTGCCAGCGCCAACCATCCTCAACCATGGCCAGGCCAACCAGTTCTCCGAGGTAGACACCTTTCACCCCATCACCATGACCATCACGGCGAGGGTCGCGTTTGGATAAGGTCTCCCAGGGGAAGGCCAGAGCAGCAACCTCCATCCGAGTGTCCTGGCATCTGCGAAGAAACAGCATAACAAGGAAGATATGATATGTGCAGCCAAAGGGTAAAAACTTGATAACAAATTGATAATCGACACAGTAATAATTGTGTAGAGGTGAAAGGTTGGCATCTCGAACGTCTGAAATAACAAAATCTATGGCCAGCGCTTTCCAAGTTTGACAGGTACTGCTATTCTTCCATAACTTGGAACATGTTGGAACAGCTCCTTCCGCCTTTTGCTACTCATCCGTTCAAGCAGCATGACACCCCACACGTCCTTGGGCTCCACTAATCTCCAGCGTCGATCCGTAGTGAGCAAATCAAACAGCCAGAGTTTGGCACCAATGACGCACACCTGCCTTGGTTTATCTTGGCTTATCTTGGTTTGGGGATGCTTGGGGTGTGTGATGGAGAGGTTGCTCCTGTGTTATTGTCAAACGTGAGTGATCAGTGATTGGGGCATGTTGTTCGCAACTGAACATTGGGAATTCAATCAGAAGGATACAAATCGGCAACGATGAAAGGCAAGTAAGCATCAAAAGAAGTTGCTCATAAAAGTCAGCCGATGCTGTTTTCTTGCAAATAAGCACGGCCAGAAGAAACAAACAAGACGTGTTCATCTCTCGTGCGTGACATGAGGCTCGATCTTGAAGCGGACAGGCACTCCCCAGCGTGGTCGACGCAAAGGGTCTCCCAATTGAGTATCCTCCACCCGACTACTTACTACTACTACTACTACTGCTCCTCCTCCTCCTCCTACTACTACTACTACTACTACATCATAAAAAGTCAAATGATGGAAGACTCAGAAGGCTTGTGAACTCTCAACAATCTTGGATCACTTGTCAGTGATTTGCTGCTTTCCACCACCTCACACAACACTATGTCTTATATTGTCTTATAGAATCGTTGGCTAGGGTCATCCTCCCAATTGAGTTAAATTCTGTTGGATCTCATGATCAGGTCCTGCCGTCTGAGGCGATGGTCTCGTGGGGTCTTCCGTCCGGCCTTCCAGGTTTCATCTCAACCCCGCAAGTCCTAGGAACTCAACCAGCCAAACACATCAAACACATTCAAACACCATAGGCTAAATATATGTGGAAACGGGAGATTCTCGCATGTTTCTTTAGAAATGAAGTTTTGGAGTTTCATGGATCATGGAGGTTTGTGTTGCTCAGGCATGAGCATTGAAGGTTCGCTTAGTTCGTTTCCTTGCTTCTTTTTTTGTCTGTCCTTTGAAGCTCGCAGTATTAGTTGCGTCCAAGGAGTAAGAAGAAAGTAGTTGGACCAGCATTGCTTATGCAGTAGTCTGCGCTGATCCTTGCTCTGTGCATTGTTTGAATGCTTTGCTTCCAACGTCTTTCTCTTCTGACCTAGGAAGACAGAGGATCCTATCACAATCAGCACCAAGCTCCACCGATCTGTTCCGCCGCTTCAGAATGCAGTTGCTTCACCATGTGCGGATGATCCAAGCCTCACTAGCAACCCAAAGCTCATGGCCAGGCTCTGGTGATCCACTCCGAGATTTGAACAAGCTACTTGAGCAAGCCTGGAATAGGCACATGAAAAATGAAAACAATGAAACTGCTCAAGTTCCTTGGCCTCCCCAGCCAACGACAAATATGATCAAATAACATCGAAATCGAACATTCACCTACAGCAGTATAAATCCAGGGAATTTAGAAATGTGGCTGAAAATGGCTGAATTCTGCTTTTTGTGATGATATGCGGCCAAGATGCCACCCACCTGATGCGCGCCATGCCTTAGGCAAAGGGTAAAAAATGAAAAAAAACATGTGCAAACTGCCGGATGACGGCCGATGACGGCAGGGCCCGGGGAAGGATCCAGCCATTGCTGAGAGGACGAACCGACCATGTTTCCTTTACATGCTCCATGGGCCAGTGATATCCTGTGATATTGCCAAGCCACACGATGGTGGCCTCGTTGGCCCCGTCATCCAAATGCAACCTGGTGAGGGCTGCTCTAAAATGATCCAAGTTTCATGATGATTCATCATGCAGTGCGCGGAAGGTCCACCCTTCTGGGTCTTCCGAGACCATCTACAGTGCTTCGTTTAATCCGTGTGTGGGATTCAGCGTCTTGCTGGCAAATTGCACCTCGTAGCTCGCAAGGTCCAAACTGTGATCTTTACTCTTGAATCCTGTTTTTTCAGTACTGCAATGCCAGCCATCCTTCAATGGAAACAGGAGGCCATGTATTGTGATGGATTGAAGGGATTGAAACCGCATTCATGCCGTCATTGCCAAAGTTCAGGTGTTTTTTGGCCATTGGTGCCTCAAATTCGAGCAATTTGGGCTTATTGATCAGGGACTTGAGAGACAGGGCACGCTTCCCAAAGGTTCAGCAGAGCCTCTTCGTTCCTCTGGGTGTTGAAACGCACACCCTCCACACAAACCTTGGAACGAGCTGGCGGGCACATAAATTCACTGCTTGAATAGACCCCTGTTTGTTGCAAGGGTGGACTACGATTATATAGAATATATTAAATTAGACTAGGCCTTGATTGATAGCGATTGTAATCTTGATTGATGGAAATTGATGGAAATTGTAGGCATGGCCCAGCTACTGCATCCACTATGAACCACTATGAACCACTCCTGTCACATCGGTTGATGTAGGGATTATAGGGGTACGAGGTTGGACCTAGTGAACTGCATGCGAGTTACCATTTTGACTTGGATGGCACGGCGGTTGCCCAAAGCACCCAAAATAGAGAAGAGCTGTAGTCCTGAGGCATCAGAATGTCTTGCAGCCATGGTATTCATTAGATCCTCTGAACCTGTCAATATGTTATTAACATTATTAAGTGTAAAACATTGTAAAACAAGGTGTCTTTGCCCTGCTGATCAATGTCAGATTTTGAGAAGTGTTTTTTCAAGAAGAGCCTGTCAGATGTCCAAGGTGCTGCTGGTTTGGCAGTCTATCAGCATGAGATGACAGGGATCAATCAAACTCTTTTTCTACGTCATGTCTCCTGATTGCCCCACTGCTAATCATGTATACATATATAATATAATTATTTATAATATAATATGATTATATGGATATATATATATATATGTGAATATGATATATGATATTTATATACATTACTTCGACCGACCCAGTCCAGTTTGCCGTCATGTTTCGAACACATAGCCGATCAATCTCCAAGATATACGACCTGCCCAGTCCACTTTGCCGATCACATAGCCGGGAACCGTTCTGCCACATGTCACATCATACCCCGAAGCTCCAAGTTGCCACCCTCTTGCCTCTCAACTACACCAGATTAACACAATGATTCACATATGATTCATGTAATGCGGTAACCATCGGTAACCCAAACAATGACTCTGTAAGCGCTGAAGCCATCGGAGGGACCCAAGCCTCTCCCCCACATTGTCACATCAACCAAATGGTCTTCTCCCTGTAAGTTAGGTGATGTTAGGTGGCAGGATGACTCACTGAAACCATCTGAAACGTTCTGAAACCACATACCAAACTGCGCAGAACGAGTCTGCCCCAGGGGGTTATCTGCAGCTTGTGTTTGGAAGTCCTTTTAAGTCCATAAGTAGTGTTCTTGCTCGCGATTCCAGCTCAGCCAAAAGGAAAGAGGATTTCAGCGTCAAGTTCAGCTTTGCCAGGCTCCGCCTCTCATCATCCTCAAATCCCGGCGGGTTGTGCCAGGTCCAATTGATCACGGTGATCTCCTGGGCTACAAATAGTACAAATGTCACTCAGATTGGCCAAACCCCAGGAGAGTTTAATGTGATGTCATAGAAATCTCTGGCTTGGGATTGCCAACTAGGCCGCTCCACCTCAATCAAGACGATGTAATTAATTAGGAGATATTAGGAGCAACATCGATGGCTACTGGATCTGGATACTGTTCTTTTTGATACATTTCTGCGAATCCTTGCAGGTTGAAGTTGTAACCCCGCCCGCTTCCAAGGCAGTCTCGTCTTGAATGAAAACATCCCGAGACGGAGGCACAACACAATCCAAGGGTCTCTGAATCACTGGAAAGTAGGTCGAGCTTTTCCACTGCTACATGCTTCAATGGGAATTTCAGGATCCTAAAATGGAGGTACTGTACCATATCAGGCCATATTTTGTGGGGATATTCCCTTACATAGGCCTTACATAGGCCTTATATATGGTAGGTACCTCCAATGAATCGGTTCCTGAAATGGCCATTGAATGCTCTTTGCTGCCATGGCACACTCCAGCACGATCTTCGCAGGGACCAGTTGGGACGCACTCGGATCAGTTCGATACTCCAATGAAACGCCTCGAAGAGTGAACACCCCATGGTAGATACCCCCACCTGTTCACACCTGAAACCGTGTCTGATGGGTACGAATGACTGAATAATAATCTGCAGCTGCCCCAGGCTCAGTGCATCGCATCGTATTCTTTGAAGCCCCGTAACAGTCTGTATTAAATTAGAAGCGTGTGATCAAATCCAGAGCTCCCAATCGCAAGTGACTGCCGCGCAGTGTTGATAATGTTGATATAGTAGCAATGATATAGCATCCCGATCCATCCCAATTTCCACCGCCTTTGGCGTCTTGGCGATCGCCCAGCATGCCAGCAGAGCTAGGGCACGGTCTACCTGTGCAAAATTTGAACGCAAGGAAAACCTCAACAGCATAGCAAATAAATCAATAAATGCCGATAAAAGGGTCCGTTCGATTCAAGATCATTTCTTAATTAGTGGCTGCATTGCATGAAGTGCTCATTTGGTTTTGCTCCGCCCGCACTTTCCCAAACAAGAAATGATTCCCACAGCGCTGCTGCCTGGAGAAGCAGGGAGAAGCAAAGGAGAAACAAAGCCTTGTGCTTTGCGAAAGCTGCCGGTATGCTGGCCCTACACTACATTTAGCCCAGCCCAAACCGTGCAGAATTCTTTCATCAATAGCATCATTTGCAGTCCATTCGTCAAGTCCCTGAAGGTTTTTGGGGTGATCATTACATATGCATTACAGGCCGCTCAATGCAATATAATGTTTTGATGATAGCTCCAATTACAAGCCAAATCCCTCTAACTTTCGCAAAGCAGTAGCTGGGCAGCAGACCCATGGCAGCGGAACAAATGCCGCTGCAATCACGAAACCACCAAGGCAAAGAGCCACACCTCAGAAATGGCCGTACTGAACTGCTGATCGCATTTTGGCTAAAGGGGAATCTGCGCCCAGAAACTTAAACTCAACTGCTGTCAACAAATGAAAGGGTCACAGTTTTACCGAGATTCCAGGGAAAAATGGTAAACAAGTGTCACTGTGTCTTCCTGTTTATCGATCAGTTGACCTTCTTTGCAACAACATAATATGTGCGTTCTAATGTTAGAGTAAGCGTAGGCGTATGTATCTGTGTAGGTAGCGATACTGCGCACGACCCATGTAAGCACTGCATCACAGCACCGCAGTACATTTTCACAGAAAAGCGCCGATCCGCTGCTTCTGGTGTTGGGTTTCTGCAATTGTAACACCTACCGGCCGCGATTCAACCTGGCAGGCAATGGAAAGCGGCCATGGCATGGACAACTCCACCACTTTGTAGCCAGCTTCCCCAACCATGGGCTTCTTTGCAAAGAGCTCTCCTGGTTTTCCCATGTAGACCTTTACGAGAGGAAAACCATAAAAAACCATGCTCTTCGCAAGTTTTTGGACTTGAGGAAAACAAAGGCGAAAACTGATGCACAAACTGATGCCGTTTGCTGACAAGGCTTTGCACTAAAATGCGTCCAAGGAACACAATGACTTCTTCGGCGCGGGTTGCTGAGGCAAATCGGCGGTGGATCTACAAAGCCATCGGCCTTGCATGCTTTACCACAGCCGCCAAAGCCCAGTTTGGCGGCCATCTCCAGAGCAATCCTGGTGAAACATCGAAGTCTGCAGCTGGTCACAACATGTCACAACAACCAAAAAATAATAACACTCGTTCCCTCTTCATTTTCTGCCTTGCCCCAATTTCCTTACGATCCCCATGCATCTTGAATTCTTGTGTAATGTGACACAGGCTTATGAAGAATTCTCGTGGTGAGCGAAAGCCACATGAATGGCAGACTGCATCTGACTGCATCTGACTGCATCTCTTTGCCAAGGATCTCTTTGGCCAACAACGCCGCCAGTTTCGCTGCCGCCGTGATCTTCTCAGTGGTAGTCACTGGGATGGGATCTGGAGGACTTGGAGGTTCCATCACTGGTATGGGTTTCTCATAAAGCGCCTGGCTCGGCACTCAGGGGGGCCCGTGCAAACGAGCACGGGATGCATAAAAGAGATGCATGCGTTGATGTGATGCAAAATGTATGCATTAAATTATAATTTATATGTCATAATTGCAATGTGTACAATGCGTAATATGATATACGAGCTCGCACCCCTCAAGAAATGCCCTCGCAGGATCGGTGACCGGATGTGACAGGGTCAAAGATACCCTGCCTCGCATTTGGCGCTCAAATTTCCATTGAAGATATTCTCGGAAATGCAGCAGCGCTCCCAGGCATCACCATCCTGGGTCTGGACAATGGTGTTGCCCCGGCCACCCCATTTTGGAAGTCTTCAAATCAAACCCGTGGTTTTGAAACAAGGGGTCCAAACAAGGGAAAACAAGTAAGCATAAATTATAATATATGCAACCATCAACCTTGGAGTGCCAGCACACTTCTCAATTTTTAGTCCCAGCATCATTATAATGGAGGAACACCAAATCTCCCAGCGGACAAAACATAACGCTTGGCTGCAAGTTCTTGCTCTCAAGTGCCTTGTGTATCCTTCGGCACTCCTCTTGATGTGGTCGGCAGTTCTTGGCCGCACCTCCATCGACCAGGGAAGGTGTCTGGTCCAACGGACACTTCGCTGGCGGTGCCCAACTGGGCACGCCTGCGTCGTACTGCGGGATGCCCAAGGATCCCGGTGAACAATCGATGTAAAAGCTGGTGCGGGTCATGACAGATATGACAGGGGTTGCCTTTGAACCCCCTTGTGCCAAATGGCTGCTGTCAGCGCTGGGGCGCATGAAGCCCTCTAAGGCCCAGTCTGCCAGTCCGCTTTTTGCTTTGACCCACAAGCCAGCTGGCAACTCAATTATCATTGAAGGGAAATCATAGAATTACAAGCTTCCATTCCGAGCCCTGTAACTGTTGCTCAACAAACACGCGGGTACCTATCCTTTCAGACTGAACGGACAGACCCTCAACAAGATGCGGGACAACTCCCTGATAAATCTCTAGTGTGGGCAGTTACTTGTGTGGGCAATTACTGTGCTCTGCTGTTTGGCCAGAGCTCCCATGGTCCCATAGCTTCTATTTCCGCACCCAATGATCCTTCTACCCGATTCTACCCAACCAGCTGAGTCACAGGTCTTCAAGGACCATTCCTGCTCCATCTGCAGAGCAGCCTCTGACTACGGCTCAAACTTCTTCGGGTCGCCCATGGCATCGCAAAGCGAGGCCACACCCGATGGGGCCGTTGCGGTGTGCTGTACGTGTCCTAGTTCTCAATTCCACGCTTTTGGTATTAGCGCGAGTAGGATCATCGGGGGTGCCTGTTGGAAATGGTACGAAGCTATGGTTGCTGAAAAATTGTATATAGTTCGATGTAGCCACTTGCGACTCTGCTTGGATGTCATCCCATCGACATCTGGTCGAATGGACAGAGTGCTTTTCTGAGTCTTCCATGGTTCTCCCTCTCTTTCTCTCATGGAAGAAACATGAGTAAGTCGGTGTTGAAGCTCATATTTACAGTTTCTGAGCCGCTGCCGGACAGTCTTTGGTCCACATTGCAGCAACAACGGCTGCGGATGCGCACAGGCAATAGACTTTGCTTGGTTTGGCAGAAGCAGGACAGACCGACGGCAATGCTTGTTGTTCTTCCACGTTCTTCCCCCCAATATTCTCTCCAGCGACATGTAGAGATGATCGAGAGGCTCTACCCCCCATCCCAAGTCTTGCTGAAAATCTTCCAGGTTCCCAGCAGTTTCCCGAGCCGCCCGATGCAACCAACTTGGCTCTGAAGTGGCGATAGCCAAAGTAGCTGAGGTGAAGGCTGAAAGGCACCCGAGGCCAATCCTTGGTATATACTTTCCGAGGCATTGATGTGTCTGAAAATAAGTTGTTTGACTTAACTATGCTTCGCAGACCAACAGGTCAATGGAAGCATTAGCCTCTTGAGTGAGAAATCGTTCAAGAATCCAGTCGAGTAGAGCCAGGCTGAGCTACCCGAGAAGCTAGGCGTCGATACAGTACAGTATGGTCTAGGAGTCAGGGCTCCGCTCAAGAAAATCCAGTCGTGGGATGCTGGGCCGTATCACAGGGAGGCTGGAGCTGGAAGGATGCTGCTCCACACCACCTAACGGACCTAACCACTGGTCCAAGCGGCTCATCTTCCAAATGTCATCCTTCAGATCTTTGGAGCGGCAACTGCCAGCCTCACAAAGAGCTGAATTGAAGCCGTACTCCTGCATGACCTGGTCACAGCTGCTGTAAACCTTGTGAGATCTTGTGAGGCACGCCCTCAATCAGAATCCAACAAGAGGTGCTTGACTGGGCCAAGTTAGTCCAAGTTTTAGGCTCATCGGCTGCGTCTACTGGGAATAAACTCATGGACTCATGGGTTTCAAAGTAAAAATTGTTCAAGTGTTGGCACTTTTTCAACACACGAACTCGGGTCCTGATGGGCTACAGAGTCTATAGTCTATAGAGATGTAGGCAAAGCGGCGTTCCAAATGTGGGGCCTAAGGCATTCACATCGCGACCAGATCCAGAATTCATCAGTCATCGCTGCATCGACCTGCAAGTTTGATGGGTCCAAGGGAAAAAAACTGGAAAAATGATGAAAAATGAATTTGCACTTGCATCGCCTCTGGTTCCACAGCTTCTACGTCCAGGCTGCGTGCTTTCGGATTGACAGGGCCAGGTTCACAGCAATGGCAGTGCGGCTGCCCTTCTCATCTGGCAACGCCGGACCAGAGGAAACCATGCATTAAATTGCCAAAAAAAAATTAGGGACCAAAATCCGGTTCCAACACCCACGCAAGAGAGGACGCAAATGTGAGAATAAGAATTATTCCAAAGCTTCTTGGAAACAGCCCTTCCAAAAGATCCAAAACAACATACAATAATTTAACAAAAATTCTAAGGCAACGATGGCACTCCATGTCCTTTCTTTGCCCCGGCCCCCCTGCTTGGATCTGCTGGTGCTCCGGTGGTCCAGCTTACAATCATACAATCACCAGGTTCTCCGGCCCTGCGGAAGGCGGGGGATGGGGACCTGCAGTCCTCAGTACAACTGGTCCGTATCCCATCGTATCCCATTGCTTTCCTGTCCTGCAACCTTCTCAAAGAACTCCCGCGACCGGGGCCACAGCATCCTCTCTCAGCAAGAGTTCAGGGGGCTGGGGAAAATGTCGGGAGTGCAAGGGCATCTGCTCCGATTATAACAATCAAGTTTCAATAGCATAGGCATAGAAAACTATAACATCTAAAGTTAAATGTGACTGAATGTCATCCAAACATTCCAAAAAGAAAGCAACTGATTGCGACGTCTTATAATTACTCTTCAGCGAATGCACTTGGGCACGGCATATCTTGCCCTCAACTTCATGTGATGTGACAGAGTCCTTTTGTTCCATTTCATCACAAGCGGTGGGTGACTTTGAAAACTTGCAGATGCTTTGGGATCTCACAGGTCCCGTCTGGCCAAACTTAAAAGTGCTCCGTTGTGAGCGGCCCATGCCAACGGCTGGTCAGTATTTCAACTCAGCCGCCACAACAAGGTTTTGGCAAAAGAATGTACAAGTATGTAGGAGCTTCAGCAGCCAGCCGACAGCACTATCACTAAACTCAAACTACTATTGCCATTCAGAAGGATGCTGTTCAACCTGTTTTTCATGTTTTTTCCACGGCGTTGCTTTTTCCAAGACGCTATGGAAGTAAGACTTTTCAAAGATCACGATGGAATTCAGTTGATGGGTGAGGAGTTGGTTGGTCCCAATACAGCAAATCTGCTGCAATGCATTCCGTGCTGTCTCCGACTCTTGACATTCCTTCGGGCTTTGTGAAACACAGGCGCATGGTCGCGCCAAAGACATTTGAATCTGGAGGCGTGCCCGTTGTCCCGCCTACCCAACCCAAACACTTTGACTGCCGGACGACTCTACTTCAATACAGGGACACTTGCCCCCAAAAGACTCCTTGCCTGGAATTCAGCACATGGCCCGTGCTCAAGGGCAATGTTTCGCACTTGGCACTGCAGCAGCAAGAATCCTCTGTGATTTGGTGCGCCATCATGTTGAACTGGACTTTTGATGCCAGGATTTTTTCGCAGTCTGTATGCATTCACCTTTTCCGCGAAATTGGCGCAAATCTCTCTACATCTCTCTACCACATCCAAAATATCCAAAGTCACGGCGGATTCTTGCCGCTGCTCGACTTGAAACAAAGATGCGCAGCGATGCTGGACTTCAGCCAGCTGCAAGCCTAGCGGATCGTCAACTGGGGGCATTGTGGGGGATCCCCCCTCTGCCCAACCATGGTCAAACCTAAGTTGGTACGGACTTTGCACGAACCATGTTAGTGATTCTAGCAATGTTACGTTGTTGATGTATGTTCAACACTGGCGGCTTTCATCTTCATTCTGTCTTTGAGCCTTGCTCTGCTCCAAGGCCACTGTAATGTTCACTGAGCCTACTAGTGGTCGTTGTGACTCAACCTCAATCATGAAAATGTTTGAAAAACAAACTCAAGGAGACTTTCAACAAGCCACGCTGAACCCGCCTTTTCCAAAGCCTATTGTTTTATGATGCTGCCACCCACCCTGCCAGTTCCACTAGCCTCGTCAATTGGAACCAGAGGTCTGTGGCGGGGCGGCTTTTTTTAGTGCTTCGTCAACTTTACTGGGCTGTTCCGTTCTTGCTCTTATTATTCCAGTGGAAGATAGCTACGAGGATTGTTCCTGGCATATGGCTTCATATAAGTCGAGCCTTTGCGATGCTTTTGGTTGAGGTTGCTGTGTTCATCATGGTCTTTTGCTGATCTCATATATCAGAAACCTCTAGAAACCATGACAAGATCCTACCAAGTCCCTTCAGGTCAAAAACTCAGAGCTAACAATAGCACAAAGCGTACATATTCTTGAACAGAGACTTGAATGAACATCACCTTGACGAGATCGTCCTTTTAGTTGCACAAATTCCAGGGAAGCCCTCAGACCTCAACATACTTTGCAAAGAAGTCCTTGAACTCGTTCAGGTCAACCTCAAGGAGCAAAAGGCCCATTCAGCCATTCATGTCAAAGAATTTGTGACTTACTTCAGCTGCAAGGACTTTCTGTTCTGCTGGGATTCTCCCAACATAGTTCTTAGCGTCTTAGTGGACAAACTTGAACAAAAGCAAACTCTGTGGTGGCCTGCGGAGGTTCACCATCATCATCCTGCCGATCCTCCCGATCCTGCCGATCCTCCCCCTTAACAAATGACCAACTTTGCATCCGAAGGTACCTGTCCGTCGTTGTTGGTGTCTGCGCGCCACCAGAGGGCTCCAATTTGCTGCCGGGTGATATCCGGCGCGTGCTTCAGCATGAAGCTTGTAAATATCTAAGAGCAGCTTTGGGCTGGGGTTTTGTACAGCCCCAGATGTTAAGCAGAGCATCCAAAATGCCAAACCATACAAGAACGCCGAGTGTCTGCTCCAATGTTTGCCATCATGAGGTATTGTAAGTTCCATGGGTCTTTAAAATGTCCGATTGTATGGCGATGGATCGTCTTCTGCAGAGATCCGTCATATGAAATCTCCCAGTCGGAAGGGAGAGCATCAGCTTGTCAGCTACATCAAACTAACAGTATCAAGTTCGATTCAATTCCGTTTGGGTACTGTACCTCTTGACTTTCAGACCACTTTAGTTTTCTCGATTTCATGTTTCCTTCTGTCTGTGGTCTACAGTATGTCTTAACTATCACGGTGACCAAGAAGACTTCCAGCTTAGGCTTAGAAAGGGTTCCCTCACATTCACACAGCCACTTCCATCCAACCCATTTCAACCCATCAAGGCAAGGAGCCATAGGCGAAATAGCGCCAGCTCCGGTCCATCCACCAAGACTTCGGAAAAGCGCCGCTGGCGTCTCCGTATTGGCCTTTCGAACCTGGGGAGGGGCCAACCGTGTTCGCTCCTTGACCTCGGGTCCCTTGGGTGTTGCGCCCTGTCCATACAGTCCATACTAGCAGAAGAATCCTGAGAAGTCCTCTGACACAATTGAGATCTAAGAATTTCTAGTAACCTCATTCAAGCCACCAGGGCCACCCGAAGGGGTGAGACAAACGTCTGGAGTTAACTTGCCAGCCAGCTCACACTTTTCCGATCCTTTCCGGCTCAGGACATCATGTGCATCTCGTGCCTCGTTCAAGATCGCCTTGAGCTGTTCTTCTGTGGCTGCTGCCTTGGGTGTCGAAACCCCGGTCGCTCACAGTCCTGTTCATCCATGCTCCTGGTTCTGTTGCCGTACCCGATGTGGGACAGAAGATGCCAGTAGCCCCTTCCCACAGTCCAAGGGTATTTTGTGCTCAAGTCCAGCTATATGTATATATATATATAGCGGGGAAATTCAATTCAATATCCCCGTCCTTATGATTGGCATACTGCTTTGCAAAGTCTTTTGGGTCGATTCATCATGGGAGTTGTTAAAACACCTGGTCTGAACCTGAGATGCCTGGAATAAAACAGACGCCACGGTGCTGATGGAGCTGCTGCAGCCTTGGCCTTTGCTGCCGCCTTGCCCGGCTTCGCGGCTGCCTTGGCGGCTGCCTGAGAGTTGAAATTCAGGCGCCTCAGCGGTTGATGCTGTTGCCATTGCTGCATGTGTATACAAATGTTATATGAGTGCGTATAATTTACATTATGTATGTAATGTGATGCGATGTGATGTAATATGATGTAATGTAATGGAATGTAATGTAGTGTAGTGTAACGTAACGTAACATAATGTAATGTAAAGCAATGTAGGTAGGTAGGTAGGTAGGCAGGCACGGAGGTACATAGGTACGTAGATACGTAGGTACGTAAGTACGTAGGTACGTAAGTACGTAGGTACTTAGGTACGTAGGTCCGTAGGTACGTAGGTGCGCATGTGCGCATGGTCGCATGTATGTATGTATGTATGTATGTATGTATGTATGTATGTATGTATGTATGTATGTATGTATGTAGTATGTATGTATGTATGTATGTATGTATGTATGTATGTATGTATGTATGTATGTATGTATGTATGTATGTATGTATGTATGTATTGTATGTATTCGTATGTATTCGTATGTATTCGTATGTATGTATTCGTATGTACTCGTATGTACTCGTATGTACTCGTATGTACTCGTATGTACTCGTATGTACTCGTATGTACTCGTATGTACTCGTATGTACTCGTATGTACTCGTATGTACTCGTATGTACTCGTATGTACTCGTATGTACTCGTATGTATACTCGTATGTATGTATGTACGTACGTATGTATGTATGTACGTATGTATGTATGTATGTATGTATGTATGTACGTAAAGTTACATAAGATTACAAGTACTGCCGTGGTTCAGCCATGCAGTGCCAAAACACATGGCAAGATTCAATCTGCCAACGTTGCCGTGACCATCACTGCAAAGTTTCTTTGGAATATATGAGTAAGTCTCACAAGGCCACGCAGAATTCACAAAATAACACTCGCGTGACCTAATCAAGAAGAGGAGCATGATGGTAGCCACACTATATTCCAGAACAATCATGAACAATCCAAAACTTTCTAAAACATGTTTTGCAAACCCAGGCACTGGCTGAGCGAGGACAGCATCCTGGAAACGGCAGTAAGTACGAAAAGAAAAGTGACTGAAAAACTGCCAAGATAGTCCAAGATATTGCATTTCAACCATGCACATGTCCATGCAGGACTTCCTAGGCTCATTAGGTATGCAGAATGTAATCAGGGATAATCAGGGTATATTCCTTGGCAAATTACGAGCAATACCGCTAAACCCTCCGGCAATGAATCACGGAATGGGTACAACCCATTTTTGGGAAAATAATCTATAATAAAGCACCATTAAGCTCTGTATCTGCATAGCTATATATATATATGTATAGATATATATATATATAGGATTATATAGGTTTAAATGGGAATTTTCCCTTGCCAACTTAGATGACCAAACGCTAAGTTGCATCCTCAAATGAACTTCACCTAACCGCAGACACGCCTGGTTGCCGCCTTGGCTTTCTCCGTCTCACCCTTGAAGTCCGTCAGGAACCTGCGGCCATGACACAAAAAAGGCTGGACCTCTGGAGAAATGCCCAAGAATCCAGTAGAACTGTAGTATCCTGTATTGACTGCAGTGACATATAATATATTTCTATATAGCGGCCAGTACAGAATCATCGGGTCCGAACGCTTTCGCTGAGTCCTGCTGCATTAAAACTGTCCAGCACCACCAGCCTGTCTGTGGCTGCCTCAGCGTGCTGCTGCGCAGCCTCCTGGAAATCCTTGTTGGACTTCACCTGCAATGGTGGTGGCTGGTAGCTTCAGCAGCAAGTGACTTGATGCCTACTCAAGTGGCAAGGCATGTGGATTTGACTGCACGACCTGGTACAATGCTGGATTCCGGAGGCGAGTCATTCCAACATCCCTTCCCTCAAGAATTCAGTGCTGACCTCCTTTAATCGAGCTTGCATGGCAATCTGAGCTTTCTTGTAGTCCTGGACGGCCCATCGGAAAAAGTCAACTGGCAGAAAGCCAAACTGCTCCAAAACTCCTAAAGGTATCGACCATCTATTGATCCATCAATCTATCGATCCATCTATGTATGATACATTGACGCAGAAATGTGGCGCTGTCCCATCCATACCTAGTGACCCAGCATGCATGGGCTCATAAAGCTTTACCTTGTGACCTTGTCGTGACCAAGTCCCACCAAAATCTTCGGTCCTCTTTTGCTTGTCTCAGGTTGTGAGATACAGTGGTATGCCTTACTGGCTCCAAGACGGTCAAGACTCACCGTGCGAGATGGAGTGGCATAGTTTCCAAATCATTCCATGAGCCGCTATGCAATGAATCTATAATCTCTCTCCGCGGCGAGCGCAGGCGGTACCGTCCGACGATATGGTAACCATGTCCCATCACATAGGGGCCCAAAATAACTATTCCTCACGCCTATCATGTTCCATTGCCAAAGGACATGTGCAACGCACCTGTTTAAGCATTTTAGGTGTTTGGGCTGGCACCCCACTTTCTCGCAAGCAATGTTCAATCTTCCGGGCTCACACATTATGCCGTTTCCAGTGAAAAAGCCAAGACACTCTCCTGAACCGGACTTCTTTAACTCTGCAGGCACCTTGCACGAGATGCATGATTTCCATGGAGCGATCCACACAAATTGACATAAGATTTAGCAAGGTTTGCATTCCAGCTGTATGTCCTTCAAATGTGAATCAGAACTTCAGCCATTTCAGCCATGGCACCACACCAGTGACTGATGTCCTTTTGCCTTTCGCTGCCTCCAGTCCACGCAGTTCCTTCTCCTGCAACGCGTGTGCTCATCTCCCAGCCATGCAGGGCACATATCCAGCAAAACCAAACGATATGAAAACCAGCAGATTTCAAAACGCAGCTTCTGTAAAGTCCTTCTTCTCCAATTCCACCCGTTCGTTTTTGGTGAGTTCAGCTACCTATGAGCGGCCCAAGATGACGTTCGATCGACCCTACCAACCGAACTGGTTTTTACCGCCACAAGCGATTGGCACCGATTACCGCCACAAGCGAGGTAGGAGCCCTTCTCATCAGGATTGGCTGCGTGCACGTAGCAAATCTACCAACTATAGTTGTAGAAGTCAATTGAAGTCGATTTAGTTTCTAACTATGTGGAACTTCGTCGGCTTGCTCAAAAAGTCCTTGCGCTTCAGACCGGAGGTAAAATACATGTGCAAACATGTTTTTTGTTTTTTCAATGTATGGCGGGAAGCCATGAAGCTTTTGTTGTTTCTGAAGCATATGGGAAGCCAAAACGGCGCTGATTTCATGATAAAATACGGGAAGCTACATATCCGTTGCCGTAGTGCAACTGATTGGAAGCAATATATAGCTTATGATTGATTGTACATTGGAAATCATTGGAACAACGTCGTCAATGTTCTTTGTTCTTGGACAAGGAACTTGCTTCATCATGGCCTGGGTGAATGGAGGAACTGCATCTCGTGGATGATTACCTCCAGAGCGAGAACAACATTGAACAACTGCAGCACATCTGGAGCCACTTTCCCGAACAGAGAGGTTGCATCTTCCAGCTGCCTTCAGAGTAGTAAGTGCCAAGATGCAGAACAGCTTGTAGAGCGAATCACGGCTGTTTCGTCTCCTCTCATCCACTCGTGGCTCAACTGACTCCAAGTCAGGGTTGTCAACAAAAATGAACCTTCACGGAGCGGCCGGAGGTCAATTCGCTTCAAATCCGTGTTCACCTATCTTGTCTTCTGCTCACTTGTTCCATCTATCAATCTAGTTGATCCAATTTTGTCTAGTCTTATCAGGGTCCCAAGCATATTCCCATGCTGAACAAACCTCGCCCGCACAAGTCCAAACCAAACGAATCACAGGGCGAGAACGAAGAGAAAACTGCAACTTGAGGCATTGCCCCACCCAGATCGCCCGGTTTGTCTGTGCGGGGGGGGATTCTCATCTAAGCAAATATATGAAAATGTAATCTAATCTAGTCCGATCTAAATTATTATATCTGTGTGTGCTTGTGGTCCGACTCTTTTCTGGCCAATTTGAGGATGTGCCCAGCCCTTAGGCCCTGTGGTTTGTTGCTGTGAGACAGCTCTCTCTCTCTCTCACTCACGGCACATTCAACAAACATGTCCGTCACCTGTGTGGATTGCAGCCCACGATGGAGTAGATGTGCTTGAAACGCCAATTGATTTCCACTTGTCGCTTAATCCAGTCATCCTCAAAGAGAACGGAGTGCGGAGCACCATTTTAATGAAGTGAAGAAGTCCAACCAGCCGCCGCCTGTTCCTGTTTACCTGCCTTTTTAGGAGGGACTCAAGAGAACAAAAAGTGACCTGCAATTGCCTGGTCCGACACGATACTTGGACACTAGGTTTGCAGCCACAGATTCGGCTTCCTGCCGATTGTTGGCGTACTTGCTCGCATAGGTGACAACGATGTAGAGATTCAGCATGCTTTCCTTGGTAGAAGAGAACTCAGGACTTAGTAGACATCTACTAGTCTGTAGAAATCTCTAGGCACAGTTGACATGACCATGCCATCAATACTACCAGGGCGGGTTACTCCAGTGACATTGACTTCAAGACAGCGACAAGTTGCATCACCCCACAGGTACTCTGTCACGTAGATCAGGCGAGCCTCGGGATGCAGCACATTGAGTTCAAAACCCGAAGGTGCGTGGCAGTGCGTGGTGCTTCTTGTACTGAATGGCCCAGAGGTATGATCAGTTCATGTGTGTTGAAGTATGCTGGTGATTGTTGGTGTATACTGTGAATTAATAATGGATTAATGTATTAATGTGGCCTTTTTCTTGCAGTGCAAGGGGCAATGGCATCATCTGTGATGCGCGCGTTGCGCATGACGTACAGCAAGCAGTCCACACCATTCCTTTCGGGAAGCGTTGAGGTCACCCTTCGTCACCCTACCCTCAACCATCCAAACATGTCAAACCTTGAAAATGCCATGGCAAAATGCAAAACACAACATTTCACCACATTTCACAACCACCTGCTAAGCCATGTTGCGGTGCCGACAAGGCCACGTCTCGAATGCTGGCCACCACCTGACATGTTGACCCCTGACGTGACCCATGGCCTGATGAACAAAAAAATACATATGGTTTATATTTATATATATAATTGTGTAAACATGTTCTGGCCATGGTGTAACATGGTGTAACCTCCGGTACCTTTCAGGCTTCGAAAGTCTGAAGCGCCCCATTCTGCATTCTACCCTGGAGTCACCTTGTCCGAGATGGTCCGAGTGGGAAAACTAAGGCCCTAAGATACAAAACCTTCAGCCACTGCCCCAGGATCCCCAGGACGCCACCTTGTTCTGATCAATCTCTGTGTCACCTAAGCCAATGGTATCCAGCACCACCAAAGATCCGTTGTCCGCTTCATACCTGCAAAAGGACGGTGCAGATCACAAGCCACTCAATCACAAAAACAAGCCCGGGGAAGAATGCCATTCATCTCCTGAAATTCGAAAACTTTTAATCTGTCGTTTCTGCTGATCTTCGCTATCTGCAGTGGTTTGACGTGAAGGCCACCTTCTCGTTTGGTGGCTCTGAACAAACCAATTTGGATCGGCACACCCCGGAATTCCCACCTCATAATGGAATCTAGATTTGTCACCTTAGCCGGACTATATAGTGACGGACAATCACTTAGAACGTATTTTGGAAAAAAAATTCTGAATATTACTGTTTTTAACGTTCTAAGCCTTGCACTTAGAACGTCGAAAACCATACACTTAGAACGTCCAAATATCAAGATTCATCACTTAGAACGTACCGGGGATTTAACACTTAGAACGTGTCTAGGTCACTGATGATAGTGGAAAGGCTTGTGAAATCTTTTATCTCTAAGTGTTGGATTCAGCAGCTAATTCCGTAGGAAACATAGACATAATTTCGTACCATTTGGTTTTTCCCTCCCATATGATTTGCAAAAATTGGCGATCTTTTATCTCTGGAACGGTATACCCTTTGGTGCTTTTTGGGGGTTCTGAGTTCTGATGCTCGAAGTGTTGGATTCAGCAGCTAATTCCGTATAGGAGACATAGGCATAATTTCGTACCATTTGGCTTTTCCCTCACAAATGATTTGCAAATATTGGCGATCTTTTATCTCTGGAGCAGTATACCCTTTGGTGCTTTTTGGGGGTTCTGACGTTCTAAGTGTTGCATTCAGCAGCTAATTCCGTAGGAAACATAGACATAATTTCTTACCATTTAGCTTTACCCTCCCATATAATTTGCAAATATTGGCGATCTTTTATCTCTGGAACACTATACCTTTTGGATCCTTTTGGTGCTTTTTGGGGGTTCTGACGTTCTAAGTGTTGGATTCAGCAGCTAATTCCGTAGGAAACATAGACATAATTTCGTACCATTTGGCTTTTCCCTCCCATATGATTTGCCAATCTTGGCGGTCTTTACCTCTGGAACACTATACCTTTTGGTGCTTTTTGGGGGTTCTGACGTTCTAAGTGTTGGATTCAGCAGCTAATTCCGTAGGAAATTCGTACCATTTGGCTTTTCCCTCCCATATGATTTGCCAATCTTGGCGGTCTTTACCTCTGGAACACTATACCTTTTGGTGCTTTTTGGGGGTTCTGACGTTCTAAGTGTTGGATTCAGAAGCTAATTCCGTAGGAAACATAGACATAATTTCGTACCATTTGGCTTTTCCCTCCCATATGATTTGCAAATATTGGCGATCTTTTATCTCTGGAACACTATACCTTTTGGATCCTTTTGGTGCTTTTTGGGGGTTCTGACGTTCTAAGTGTTGGATTCAGCAGCTAATTCCGTAGGAAACATAGACATAATTTCGTACCATTTGGCTTTTCCCTCCCATATGATTTGCCAATCTTGGCTGTCTTTACTTCTGGAACACTATACTTTTGGGTGCTTTTTTTGCGGGTTCTGACGTTCTAAGTGTTGGATTCAGCAGCTAATTCTGTATAGGAAACATAGGCATAATTTCGTACCATTTGGCTTTTCCCTCACAAATGATTTGCAAACATTGGCGATCTTTTATTTCTGGAACACTATACCTTTTGGTGCTTTTTGGGGGTTCTGACGTTCTAAGTGTTGGATTCAGCAGCTAATTCCGTATAGGAAACATAGACATAATTTCGTGCCATTTGGCTTTTCCCTCCCATATGATTTGCAAATCTTGGCGGTCTTTACTTCTGGAACACTATACTTTTTGGTGCTTTTTGGGGGTTCTGACGTTCTAAGTGTTGGATTCAGAAGCTAATTCCGTAGGAAACATAGACATAATTTCGTACCATTTAGCTTTTCCCTCCAATATGATTTGCAAACATTGGCGATCTTTTATCTCTGGAACACTATACCTTTCGGATCCTTTTGGTGCTTTTTGGGGGTTCTGAGTTCTGATGTTCGAAGTGTTGGATTCAGCAGCTACTTCCGTAGGAAACATAGACATAATTTCGTACCATTTGGCTTTTCCCTCCCATATGATTTGCCAATCTTGGCGGTCTTTTCCTCTGGAACACTATACCTTTTGGGGCTTTTTTGAGGGTTCTGACGTTCTAAGTGTTGGATTCAGCAGCTAATTCCGTAGGAAACATAGACATAATTTCGTACCATTTAGCTTTTCCCTCCCATATGATTTGCAAACATTGGCGATCTTTTATCTCTGGAACACTATACCTTTTGGATCCTTTTTGGGGGTTCTGACGTTCTAAGTGTAAAATTCAGCAGCGAATTCCGTATAGGAAACATAGACATAATTTCGTACCATTTGGCTTTTCCCTCCCATATGATTTGCAAATCTTGGCGGTCTTTTATCTCTGGAACACTATACCTTTTGGTGCTTTTTGGGGGTTCTGACGTTCTAAGTGTTGGATTCAGCAGCTAATTCCGTAGGAAACATAGGCATAATTTCGTACCATTTGGCTTTTCCCTCACAAATGATTTGCAAACATTGGCGATCTTTTATTTCTGGAACACTATACCTTTTGGGTGCTTTTTGGGGGTTCTGACGTTCTAAGTGTTGGATTCAGCAGCTAATTCCGTAGGAAACATAGACATAATTTCGTACCATTTGGCTTTTCCCTCCCATATGATTTGCAAATCTTGGCGGTCTTTACTTCTGGAACACTATACTTTTTGGTGCTTTTTGGGGGTTCTGACGTTCTAAGTGTTGGATTCAGCAGCTAATTCCGCATAGGAAACATAGACATAATTTCGTACCATTTAGCTTTTCCCTCCTATATGATTTGCAAACATTGGCGACTTTTATCTCTGGAACACTATGCCTTTTGGATCCTTTTGGTGCTTTTTGGGGTTCTGACGTTCTAAGTGTTGGATTCAGCAGCTAATTCCGTAGGAAACATAGACATAATTTCGTACCATTTGGCTTTTCCCTCCCATATGATTTGCAAATATTGGCGATCTTTTATCTCTGGAACACTATACCTTTTGGATCCTTTTGGTGCTTTTTGGGGGTTCTGACGTTCTAAGTGTTGGATTCAGCAGCTAATTCCGTAGGAAACATAGACATAATTTCGTACCATTTGGCTTTTCCCTTCCATATGTTTTGCAAATATTGGCGTTCTTTATCTCTGGAACACTATGCCTTTTGGTGCTTTTTGGGGGTTCTGACGTTCTAAGTGTTGGATTCAGCAGCTAATCCGTAGGAAACATAGACATAATTTCGTACCATTTGGCTTTTCCCTCCCATATGATTTGCCAATCTTGGCGGTCTTTACCTCTGGAACACTATACCTTTTGGTGCTTTTTGGGGGTTCTGACGTTCTAAGTGTTGGATTCAGCAGCTATTCCGTAGGAAACATAGACATAATTTCGTACCATTTGGCTTTTCCCTCCCATATGATTTGCCAATCTTGGCGGTCTTTACCTCTGGAACACTATACCTTTTGGTGCTTTTTGGGGGTTCTGACGTTCTAAGTGTTGGATTCAGCAGCTAATTCCGTAGGAAATTCGTACCATTTGGATTTTCCCTCCCATATGATTTGCCAATCTTGAGCGGTCTTTACCCTTGAACACTATACCTTGGTGCTTTTTGGGGGTTCTGACCTTCTAAGTGTTGGATTCAGAGCTAATTCCGTGGAAACATAGACATAATTTCGTACCATTTAGCTTTTCCCTCCCATATGATTTGCAAACATTGGCGATCTTTTATCTCTGGAACACTATACCTTTTGGATCCTTTTGGTGCTTTTTGGGGGTTCTGACGTTCTAAGTGTTGGATTCAGCAGCTAATTCTGTATAGGAAACATAGACATAATTTCGTACCATTTGGCTTTTCCCTCCCATATGATTTGCCAATCTTGGCTGTCTTTACTTCTGGAACACTATACTTTTGGGTGCTTTTTTTGCGGGTTCTGACGTTCTAAGTGTTGGATTCAGCAGCTAATTCTGTATAGGAAACATAGGCATAATTTCGTACCATTTGGCTTTTCCCTCACAAATGATTTGCAAACATTGGCGATCTTTTATTTCTGGAACACTATACCTTTTGGTGCTTTTTGGGGGTTCTGACGTTCTAAGTGTTGGATTCAGCAGCTAATTCCGTATAGGAAACATAGACATAATTTCGTGCCATTTGGCTTTTCCCTCCCATATGATTTGCAAATCTTGGCGGTCTTTACTTCTGGAACACTATACTTTTTGGTGCTTTTTGGGGGTTCTGACGTTCTAAGTGTTGGATTCAGAAGCTAATTCCGTAGGAAACATAGACATAATTTCGTACCATTTGGCTTTTCCCTCCAATTATGCATTTGCAAACAATGGCGATCTTTTACTCTGGAACACTTATACCTTTTGGATCCTTTTGGCGCCTTTTGGGGGTTCTGATTCTGATGTTCGAAAGTGTTGGATTCAGCCAGCTACTTCCGTAGGAAACTATTAGACACTAATTTCGTACCATTTGGCTTTTCCACTCCCATATGATTGCCAATCTTGGCCGGTCTTTACTCTGGAACACCCTATACCTTTGGTGAAATTTTTGGGGGTTCTGACGTTCTAAGTGTTGGATTCAGCAGCTAATTCCGTAGGAAACATAGACATAATTTCGTACCATTTGTCTTTTCCCGCCCATATGATTTGCAAATATTGGCAATCTTTTATCTCTGGAACCCTATACCCTTTCGTGCTTTTTGGGGGTTCTGAGTTCTGATGTTCGAAGTGTTGGATTCAGCAGCGAATTCCGTAGAAAACATAGACATAATTTCGTTCCCTGTGGCTTTTCCCTCCCAAATGATTTGCAAATATGGCGGTCTTTTATCTTTGGAACACTATGCCTTTTGGATCCTTTTGGTGCTTTTTGGGGGTTCTGACGTTCTAAGTGTTGGATTCAGCAGCTAATGCCGTAGGAAACATAGACATAATTTCGTACCATTTGGTTTTTCCCTCCCATATGATTTGCAAATATTGGCGATCTTTTATCTCTGGAACACTATACCTTTTGGATCCTTTTGGTGCTTTTTGGTGGTTCTGACGTTCTAAGTGTTGGATTCAGCAGCTAATTCCGTAGGAAACATAGACATAATTTCGTACCATTTGGCTTTTCCCTCCCATATGATTTGCAAATCTTGGCGGTCTTTTATCTCTGGAACACTATACCTTTTGGTGCTTTTTGGGGATTCTGACGTTCTAAGCTGTAGGAAACATAGACATAATTTCGTACCATTTGGCTTTTCCCTCCCATATGATTTGCCAATCTTGGCGGTCTTTACTTCTGGAACACTATACTTTTTGGTGCTTTTTGGGGGTTCTGACGTTCTAAGTGTTGGATTCAGCAGCTAATTCCGTATAGGAAACATAGACATAATTTCGTACCATTTAGCTTTTCCCTCCTATATGATTTGCAAACATTGGCGATCTTTTATCTCTGGAACACTATGCCTTTTGGATTCTTTTGGTGCTTTTTGGAGGTTCTGACGTTCTAAGTGTTGGATTCAGCAGCTAATTCCGTAGGAAACATAGACATAATTTCGTACCATTTGGCTTTTCCATCCCATATGATTTGCAAATATTGGCGATCTTTTATCTCTGGAACGCTATATGTTTTGGTGCTTTTTGGTAGTTCTGACGTTCTAAGTGTTGGATTCAGAAGCTAATTCCGTAGGAAACATAGATCGACATAATTTCGTACCATTTGGCTTTTCCCTTCCATATGTTTTGCAAATATTGGCGTTCTTTATCTCTGGGACACTATGCCTTTTGGTGCTTTTTGGGGGTTCTGACGTTCTAAGTGTTGGATTCAGCAGCTAATGCCGTAGGAAACATAGACATAATTTCGTACCATTTGGCTTTTCCCTCCTATATGATTTGCAAACATTGGCGATCTTTTATCTCTGGAACACTATACTTTGGTGCGTTTGGTGGTTCTGACGTTCTAAGTGTTGGATTCAGCAGCTAATTCCGAGGAAACATAGACATAATTTCGTACCATTTGGCTTTTCTCTCCCATATGATTTGCAAATATTGGCGATCTTTTATCCCTGGAACACTATACCTTTTGGATCCTTTTGTTGCTTTTTGGTGGTTCTGACGTTCTAAGTGTTGGATTCAGCAGCTAATTCCGTAGGAAACATAGACATAATTTCGTACCATTTGGCTTTTCCCTCACATATGATGTGCAAACATTGGCGATCTTTTATCTCTGGAACACTATACCTTTTGGATCCTTTTGGTGCTTTTTGGGGGGTTCTGACGTTCTAAGTGTTGGATTCAGCAGCTAATTCCGTAGGAAACATAGACATAATTTCGTACCATTTAGCTTTTCCCTCCCATATGATTTGCAAATATTGGCGATCTTTTATCTCTGGAACACCATACCTTTTGGATCCTTTTGGTGCTTTTTGGGGGTTCTGACGTTCTAAGTGTTGGATTCAGCAGCTAATGCCGTAGGAAACATAGACATAATTTCGTACCATTTGGCTTTTCCCGCCCATATGATTTGCAAACATTGGCGATCTTTTATCTCTGGAACACTATACCTTTTGGTGCTTTTTGGGGGTTCTGACGTTCTAAGTGTTGGATTCAGCAGCGAATTCCGTAGGAAACATAGACATAATTTCGATTCCACTGCGAATTCCAATTTTCTGCAATATTTTAAGTGCGTTTTGTAAAAGGAAATTCAATTGATTTCGAAAGTGAAAACAATAGTTTTTTAAAAATTAAGGTTTTAAATTTATTATTAGGGTCCGCTTCGGAATCCAATTTTTGGCAATATTTAAATTGAAATCGGAAAAAAAAAAATTCTTATTAAGGGTTTAAATTTATTATTTAGGCCCGCATCGAAATCCAATTTGTGGCAATATTTCAATTGCGTTATACAAGGAAATTTGATTGATTTTGAATTGAAAAAAAATAGTTTTGTTTTATTAAAGGTTTAAATTTATTAGGGTCCGCTTCGAAATCTAATTTTTGGCAATAGTCTAATTGCGTTATAAAAGGAAATTTAATTAATTTTGAATCGAAAAAACTTGTTTTTTTTTATTAAGGGTTTAAATTTATTATTAGGATCCGCTTCGAAATCCAATTTTTGGCAATATTTTGAAAGGGAACCATCACAGTTGATTTGAAACGGTGGGTACCTCATCGATTTTCTCGAAGGTTTTGGATTGTAGAAGTATTTATATTATATACATTTATAATGTATGTATTTATATATATACAAGTATATATACATATCATATGGTAATTGTTCATAATTATAGTGGCGGACAATCACTTAGCACGTTCTAAGTGTTGGTTTACGTTCTAAGTGATAAATGGGCCTAAGTGATATTTTGACGTTCTAAGTGATGAATTTTCCCTACGTTCTAAGTGATGAAATTTTGCTACGTTCTAAGTACGGAAAAAAAAAAATGGAAAAAAATTTACGTTCTAAGTGATTGTCCGTCACTATATAGTGTCTAAGGGCTCCGCGGCTTTGCCACTTGGAACATCTTTGAACCGTGCGAAGACGCAAAATGCAGTATCATCATCTATGCAAAAAAATGGCAAAAATGCATTCACTCTAGTCACCAGTCACTGTGTATACAAGCAGAAAAAATCACAGTGCAAACACAACCAGCTCGTACCATTGGTTGGTTCCAAGGGGCGCTGGCAGTGTCGTCACCTCAAAGGCAAAACAAAGGATACACGTGCTCAGTTGCTGTAAATCCATGGAACAGATCAAAATGAACTGAATGAAAGTGGGAACCACGGAAGCAAGTATCAAACTGAATGCAAATAAGTCATAAACAGTATTTCTTTAGGTCCTATAGGTCTTCAGACTGTTGGTCAAAAGCCCTCCTTTACAACTATGTTAATTACAGTAGGTCCAAGTGCCATCATGCGACATCTATCTGGAGTCAAGGAACCTGAATCAAAAATGTTCTGGCCGGCAATCAAATTGCCAAGAGCACTTTTGCCAGCACCAGTCATCCCAAACATCATCACCTCAACTGCTGGGAGGTCAGCGGCAAAAGTGGAACTGCTGTGTAAAGTGCGTCTTCCTGTGGTACAAACGCTGCTGAGTCACGGTGAGCTTCCCTGCAGGTGGGAGCACCCATGGGCATTCTTTCTCTTTCTCCTTTTCTGCTGGCCCTTTCTCCTTCGCAGCTGCAAACAAATACGGAAGAACTCAGATGCCCATAGAAGTTTCGAGACCCAATTAAACAGGCAGGGCCAGTGGGTCTTACACCCCTCATGCATTTCAAAACGCATATAAAGACCAAGAGGGAGAGAAAAACGGTGTTGAAATTTCTTACAATGCCTCACAAGTTGGAACCATTCACAACAAACCTTGACGCATCCACGCGTGAAATAATCCTATCTTTCTCCAATACGGCAACCATTCAGTCATCAGTCCATCAAAAATATCACAACTGGTTTGTCCCACATATTTTGGGGATCCCGTTCCATCATTCCATCCATTGGTTATTCATCATTTTCCCCATATTCTCTCCATAGAAATAGCCAGGGACCGCAGCCTTGGATTCCTTTCGTTTCGCCTGTTCTGCTGCAGCTTCAGCCCGCTCCAGCTCCAAGGCCTGTTGCTCCTGACCAGCGTCGCAAGCGTTGGGAAACGTGGGGGACGGCGCAAGGAAAAATTAAGATATAGATATATTGTATAGATATATAGCTATAGATGTATATATATATATAGTCACCCAAGAATATTTTTTTTGAAAAAAACTACCTGTTTAATACTTTCACTGGTATTTACAGCATTTTTTGTAATATTTTGGGGAATGGTTTTTAGGCCTATATTGGGGAAACTTTGGCTGTAGTGTCGAGAGGGGGTGCCATAGGTTAATTCAACTTAACTTCAATGATAGCATTCTGGGAAGAATGCATTCAGAATTCATTCCTGGCTAAGTCTAAGATCTAAGATTCCCCCAAGCCTCCTGAGCAAATCTTAGACCTTAGATCTTAGATTGAAGCAGTATCAAAAGAGCGTTTTTCTGTTTAAGAAAAAACTACTTGACAAG